CTCGGCTCCGCTCGGCTCCGCTCGGCTCCGCTCGGCTCCGCTCGGCTCCGCTCGGCTCCGCTCGGCTCCGCTCGGCTCCGCTCGGCTCCGCTCGGGCCCTCTCAATTGTGTCCACTCAGTTATGCTCGGCCCCGCTCGGCCCCCGGTGACTGCGCGCCCAGAGGACCAGACCCCGCTCAGGTCGATGCGAAGGGAGGGCGAGGCGGGGAGCGCGCCCGCTCCGGCCTGAAGGTGACAGTGCCCGCTGCTGCCGCCCGTGAGGGCCGGACTCGGGGCGCTGAGAACTCTCCACAAGCCGGCGAGAGGCGGCCTGGTCCTCTCCGCCCTCGCCGCGGCAAGGCTAGGGTAGTGGCCGGCAGACGCCAACCTCAAGTGTGGAGAGGCACTCGAGCAACTGCTTGGGAGGTTCCCGTCGCGAGTCTCGCAGCCCAGATGCGAAGAGGGCCAACCCCCAGCCACCGACCAGACCCAGCCCCGCCTCCCACACCACTGTAGCGGCCACCTCCCTAACCCAGATCTACGTCGGGGCGAGTCTTCCGGAAGTACGCCCGCCGGAAGTGCATCCACGTCCCAGTATTCTCCGTGGCTCGTGTGGTCCCCACGCCCGCGCATACTGCGTTCCGCTCCGCCCCGCCCCTCCGTTGCCACCTCCCCCGCCCGGCGCCATGGCAGCTGCGGCCGGGGACTGCTCGGTGAAGCCGCTGCAGAGCGCTATGAAGCTGGCCAACGGAGCCATACAGCTGGACACTGGCAACCGGCCGCGGGTGAGCGGGGTAGAGCAGGTGGGCTGGGGGAGGGTTGGGGGAGCCCGGCTCCTGGCCTCGCTTCCCCGTCTGGTCACTGAGTCAGAGCGTCGGTCGGAGGCAGCCCCGGGACGCGCGACGGGCAGGCCGGTGAGAGAGCGCTTGGAGCTCCCGGGCAGACTGCGGCCGGATCGGGTCGCATCCTGAAAGGCCGACTGTCGCGCCCGGGGGTCTCTTGCTAGAAAACCCAGGCGAGAGAGGACAACAGCCGCCGGACGAGCACCAGCTCAGGGCAGGTGGAAAAGCTTATGGAGCCACCCGGGCTGCCCACGGGGGAGGAGTCCGCGTATGCTTTGAAGCGCATCCAATCTTCCCAGTTGCTTCTCTGGGGCAGCAGGTTATCCCACAAGTCAGAAATCCTGCCCGAAATGCAGACTGTGCTTTTCACAGAAGTGCAGACTTTACAGCTGGGTTAAAACAAAGCAAACACACTTGCTGTGGTTCCCGATGTCCTAGCTCTGCTGGAGCCTAGACAGAGCTGTCACGTCTTAGGAATACAGAGTTCAGGGTTTCAGGCCCCTGTGTACACGGCGAATCCTAATTTGGGGGTTCGGCAGAGGGATTACCTTTAACCTAAACCGGAAAACCAGTCTGAGATTTGCAACCTCACTCCCGCCCTGTCCTCTCAGGAAGTACTTTTCTTATGTCATGGAATGAATAGTCTGTGAGTTACACAGGAAGGAAACTTATTGCACAGAGTGAAAAACGAGAGTTGAGGCTGCTTCGCAGCGGCCCACTAAATGAATCTGAAAAAGGCAGTGAGAGGAGAAACATGCCAGTGTGGTTTCTGCTGTCACTGTCCAGTGTGGAAGTTCTAGGAAGAAGTGCTGTAACATCTTTTCCTTCAAGTCTGGACACTGTGGCTACAGTCTCTGCTCCTCTACCCACCCTGCTCATCAGGGTGGATATCCCTGAGAAATGAGCAGGCACTGCCACTCCTGTGTTTTCCGCCATGGCACCGGGCAGGTGTGATGCAGCCATTCCCCTCTGCTGGCCTGAGCTCTACCATTTCTCTTCCCTGGACGCAGGAGGCATACATGGAATACCTGAGGAGCATCCACTACATCTCCCAGGTGCTACTGGAGGAATCGACTAAAGGTGCGACAGCCTTGCCATTGCTGTCTCTCAATGGGTTCTAAGCCTGGAGGTCTTCTGTGTTCTTCCAGCCTGGTCATTAGCAGAAGGTGGTCCGTGAGCCTGAGATGCCACAGTTTGACATTAAGGAACAGCACTATAGATAAGGGGGTGGGTCCTAGAGTGGAGCAATATACTGGCCCAGGGCAGGAAGGAGTGAGCTGCACAAAGATAGGGTCGTTCCCAGCACAGGGATGTGGGCATGACTGTGTACCTTGGGTGGGTGAAAGAAAGTTCATGGAGGCTCTGAGCTCTGTGGGAGAGGCTGGTACAGGCACAGAGGCTCAGGATGCTCTGTAGGGAGGACAGTGGGGCCTGCACCAGTGCCAGGAGGGAGAAGTGAAGGGTTTGGGATGAACCAGCTTTGCTGGGGGCTAATGGGAGCCACAGGGCCAGAGGATGTTCAAGCAGATGGGCAGGAGTCACTGTTTGAAGACAGGAGTGGACAGTCATCATGGACACATTAAGTCTGTGGAGGGTGAGCTTCTCCACATCCTCGTTTTCATCTCAGCAAGGACCTGACTCATGGTGAAGCTGAGAGTAACCAATCTTCTTATCCCTGCCCCAGATGCCTGGGAAACAATGTCCCCTGACACCTCAAAGATGCTAAAGCTGGCTGAGCAGTGTCTGGAGCGGGCCCAGTCAACAGCTGCCAAGCTTGGTGGGTGCCCAAAGGAGGGGACTGTCCTGGGTACCCCCAGTCTTTGCTTGGTGGGACAGGCCCTGCCTGGCTGAGCCTGGCTGTGCATATGGCTTGCAGGGAAGACTCTCCAGAAGCCAGCAGTGCCCATGGCTGCTCCAGCGCCGCCTACTGGCCGACACCGCCGGGTGTGCTCAGATGAAGGAGGGAAGCTCTCTCCATTCCTGCCACCTGAGATCTTCCAGAAGCTTCAAGCAGTAGAGTCCCAAAACTCTAAGAAGTAAGATGGCAAGATGGGAGGTATGCAGAGCCTCTGGTTGGGTTTGGAAGCCAAGCAGAGTTAGCTCACTGTGGAGATTTTAGTTAAATGGGTCACAGCGGTGGAGGGTGTAGCTCAGTGGTAGAGTTTGACTAGCATGCTCAAGGTGCTGGGTTCAGTTTCCAGTACCCACAGAATGGAAATACCTGTTTGCCTGGCCAATCAGATGCAAATCTTTTTAGGAAGAAAGAAACTTGATCTTTCATAAAATTGGTGATGGAACCCTAACCCTAACCCTAACCCTAACCCTAGCTGAGCACAAAAGGAAATAGGAAACCATGAGAGAATGATAGCAGAAACTGAACTGCAAAGCTTTCTGGTGGAACTGTCAGGAATATATTAACCAAGTGTTCTCTGTATATGGAGAGACAACAGGCAAGCTTGAAATCACCTGCAGGGAGCAAGAAACTGTAAAATTAGGCTAGCAGAGAACCAAGTAGAGGACCAGGGATGTGGTTCAGTGGCACAGTGCCTACCCATTAAGCATGAAGTCGTGAGTTTGATTCCCAGTACCAAAAAAGATGAAAGAAATGAGAGTGTAACACTGAAATGATTTTTTTTTTTTAAGTACCGGGAGTGGAACTCAGGACCTTGCGCTTGCCAAGCAGGTGCTATGCCACTGAGCTATATCCCTGGCCCTGAAATGATTTTTATTTTTATTTTTATTTTTTTATTTTAAAGAGTAAAAGAAGGATAACATAATAATAGGGGGGGCTTACCAAATTAACAGACAAAGTGGTAGGAAATTATCAATGGTTATTGTTTTACATATTGCTATTTACAAGATAGTTTCTCAGGAAAACAAATAATAGTGAGTTACAGACAAAAGAGGTAGGAGATTGTCAATAGTTGTTGTACTATACTTTGGTATCTTCAAAGTGGCTTCTAAAGAAAATAAATAGAGCTATACATGAGTGACCTATTGTATAATCATTAACTTTTCTTAATGGTTGTTGTAGGAAACACATAATAATAAACATGGATCCATTTACGAAATAGGATAGGAACAATACAAACATTACAGAGTTATGGATAGATTAGTAGGAAAATATCAATGACTGCTGTAATACATGGTGGTATCTTCAAAGTGGTTTCTCAGGAAGACAGAGATACGCAAGAAGGATCTAACAAGTAGTTACAGCCTAAGGGTTGTCAAAAATAGCATATTACCTCTTCACCAGTGACTCCTGTCGCTGAGGTGTGACAGCTAGAAGGCAGGCCAGGATTGAAAAGAAGGACCGAGAGACTTGCACCTGTGTCTAGCAACAGGCTGTTTTCTTGTTCCTCCATAGTCATGATTACCCAGGGCTCCTCCATGGAGATGATGGTCTGGCCAGAGGGAGAAGGCAGAGTATGCCCCGGGCCCTCTCATTCCTGTTGGACTAACTGGTAGGATGGGTCTGAGCTCTGGGGCCTCCGCTTCAGAGGGCAGACTGATCTCCAGTGGTCACCTTTGCATTCAGGGCATGGCCCATGGGGCCCCTTAGGGCAGTTCCTCTTGAGGTGGCCTGGCTTTTAACAGTGGTAGCGGATGAATGCAGTCGTCGAGTTCTTCTTGGATGAAATGATTTTTAAAAAACTAGTTGGAAACAAAAATTATATATTATGTGTAGAAATGCATACATAAATACAAAAATGAGTGGCCAAGTTTATAACAGCAGAGTAGATCCAGCTGAAGAGAAAATGAGTAAGTTGGCAATACAGTCAAAATTTACCTAGCAGGTATCACAGAAGCAGAAAACTCAACAAAGAGAAAGTCTAACATACATTTTTTAAAATTCTACAAAAAGAAAAGAAAGAAAGTAGGAGAGACGCATTATTTGAAGACAGCAGACAATTTTCTAGAAGTAATGAGACATACTGACAGGCAAAAAGCCAATGGCCCCCCTGGGGTGATTTGGGGCCTGTTCCTCCTGCCCACTGCCAGGGGCATCCAGGCACCTTGTCTGCGTCTGCCATGGACTGAAGTCTTGGTGCTCCACCTTTACTCTCCAGTGCCCTGGAGGGGGTTGTTGCTCCAGGACCCCACACCCTAGGGAGTAGGCAGAGTTCTTTGTTTTGCAGGTGCAAACCAGTCTTCTTGTTGGGCTTGTCCCATGCCTTTGACAAGGTTTGTGTTGTTGATTTTTTTTTTTTAAGTCCAGAGGTCAAGCTTCTCGTGAGAAATCAGAAGTCTTGGTATTACTGAGGCCAGTGTTTATGGCAGACTAGGAGGGGCAGGTACCTGCAGCCCACCGCAGACCCCTCCACATTTCCTTCCTGCTCTGTCACAACAACCTCTTCTCCCCTGGTCTCAGAGTGAGGTTAGGAGGGTGCAAAGGAGGCCACTGGGCTCACTGGAGCACTCCTGGGCTTCCTGGTCTGGGTGGTAGCTTGTCACCACTTCCAGGGAGCTGACACCGCTGGAGGAGGCTTCCCTACAGAACCAGAAACTGAAGGCTACCTACGAGGCTCGGATGGCCCGTCTGGACCCCAGCCAGGCCATGCAGAAGACATCACTGGTGAGCTGAGCCTGAGGAAGGCCTAGGTTGTCCAGGAAGGGCCAAGGCAGTGGGAGGAACTGCCTCACTCCCGCCTTGCCTCCTAGACCCTGTCTCTGCAGCGGCAGATGATGGAGAACTTGGTGATCGCCAGAGCCCGAGAGGAGACGGCATCCTTTCTGACCATCGCTGCTGTTCTGTGGAGAGGTTGAGGGGAGAGTGGGGAGAAGGCTGTGGGAAATACGTCATCAGGGAGAGAGCTCCCTGGGCCCTCTGTGGGCTCTCATCCTCCACCCAGTGCAGCAACTGCTTGCCATCCTCAGGTCCTCTGAAATGTGTCTCTCTTTGTGCCTCTCCTGGGAACAGCCTCTCCCTTATCTCCTGTCCCTCTGGCCTTGCCAACTCACTGGACAGCTCCTTGGGAGTCAGTAGCAGCTGCACCTGCCTCTAGAGCCCCTGAGATATGGAGGGTGCTAAGTGTGAGCAGATGTGGGTCCAGGAAGTTGTAGGGGGAGGCCGGGTCAGGCATGCTGGCCCCTTAACTCTGCCACCCCAGCTGCAGCGGAAGATGGAGGAACGCCGGCTGCGGCTCCAGGAGGCTGCCAACAGGTGCAGCTCCTTCTTACCTTGGGACAAATAGGGAGGCCTGGTGGGGCTCCTGTGCCTGCGTGTCCAGCCCCAGGGCCCCAGCCTGTCCTTCCTTGCCAGGAGGTTCTGTAGTCAGGTTGCCTTGACTCCCGAGGAGCGGGAACAGCGGGCCCTTTACGCAGCCATCCTCGAGTATGAGCAAGACCATGTGAGTGTTGCTGGGCAGAGCCGGTGGGCAGGAGAGCCGGGGTTCTGTGGGTCTCCTGACATTGGGTCCTCTACACCCTGGGGAGGGTCAGGGGCATCCCATTGTGGGGACCCACTGTGCTTTCCTCCAAGGCCCCTTGTCCTGCAGGACTGGCCAAAGCACTGGAGGGCCAAACTCAAGAGGAACCCAGGGGACCTGTCCCTGGTGACCAGCCTGGTGTCTCATCTGCTCAGGTATCCCAGTCTTCCTGCTACTTGCTTGCTGACAGGGAAAGATGACTAGAAAAAGAGATTAGTTAGGAGGGCTGGGGAGGCAGCAAAAGGCTACAGGGTGAGGGGCTCCCACAGTGGGACCTGAGCTGTCTCTCAGCTGCCCTTTGCACAGGGGGATTTTCACTGACTTCCTTCAGCCTCCTAGATGGGGCCAGTCAGACTCTGTTTGTAACATTCACCAAGAAGAAACAGTGTGCAGGTCTCTTTTGTGGAATGTCTGACAGGGAGGCAGCTCTGTAGACAGGCAGAGATGTGAGGCTCAGACAGAGGTATGAGGCTCACATAGGTCAGGTTCCTCAGCACCCAGGCCAGAGGCCAGCAAGTATACTGCAGCTCTGTGCAGCTCAGATGGTGACCACTGTGGCTGGTGGGACAGAGTGGGCAAGGGTGTGTGCTCTCCTTGTGGCCAGGCTGTGCCCTGCTCAGCAGCCACTTCTCTCCTTGCAGCCTTCCTGACCACCCAATCTCGCAGCTGCTGAAGAAACTGCAGTGTGCAGTGTACAGCGCACTGTACCCTGTTGTGAGCCAGGGCAGCTTTGGCACTCCATCCACCCCAGGGTGCTGCTCCTTGACCCCAGATGCCGACAGGCTCCTGGATCCTGGGAGCCGGCGCCTCCGCTCCTCCCAGAGCCTGTATTGCATGCTGTCCCCCCAAGAACCTAGTGTGGCCCCACAGTCCCAGGATAGACCCCCTGCCACCCCACCACTCCTGCCCAGGCCCCTGGACAAAGGGGCAGACAGTAGCCCAGCCAGGCCCCCGTCACCCCTGGGGGATACCTTGTCCCGCCTGCCCGATAAGGACAGCTCCTTCGAGGACCTGGAGCAGTTCCTGGCTAAATCAGAGAGGTGTGCCTGGGGCTCTGGGGCACAGGCTGAGCTGCAGGTCCAGGTGACACAGAGGGAGCCCTTGCTGGAGTGTCTGAAGAGCACGGTGAAGGACATTCATAATGCCATCGGTGAGCTGTGGGTGCTGCCTTGCCCATGGCCAGGCACTCTGCAGGCAGCCCAGTCCCTCAGAGAGTAGCACTCCTTCTGTCCCCAGCCACGCCCTCCCTGGCCGCATGGGGCCAGGGAAGCATGGCCTGCTCATGCCTTGCTTGTGTGCCCCAGCGCATTTCACTCTGGTGGTTGACCAGGGTCTGTGGTGAGCAGGTGGTCATGGCTGTGCCACTGGGTGAGGCTTGTGATTTCTCAGCAGACTGCACTGCTCACCCTGCTGCTGTGGCTCAGCCCCCAGCCTTCCCACTTCAGTTCTAGGCCTTGGGCAGGCTTTGGGCCCAGCAGGCAGGAGCCACTGTCTCAAATTTTCACCATGCTGACCATGCTCCCTGCCCCACCCAACCCCACTTCCTGTAATTCTAGAGTCCTTTGGGTTGCAGACCTGGTCAGGTCCTTTCAGGATCTCTTCTTCTCTTCCTCAAACTCCTTGGAGGATCAGGGAGCTAGGCTCTGGCCCCAGGCCGCACAGACGGGATGAGCAGGGGCTCTCTTTGGGCTTAGCCAGGAGGGCCCTGAGGAAGTCCCCACTCTGCTCCCGGCAGACAGGCTGCTCTCACTGACCCTCCTGGCCTTTGAGAGCCTGAACACAGCTGCTTGCAAAGACCGCTGCCTGGCCTGTCTTGAGGAGCCCTTCTTCTCCCCACTGTGGCCTCTGCTACTGGCCCTGTACAGGTACAGTCCTGGCCTGGCCACCAATCCCATGCCTGGCATTATCCACTGCTGTCTCTGAGGCCTGTGCAGGTACTGACCATGGCCTGCCCTCTGTTCACTGAGGCTGTCCCAGGGGTTCTAGTTTGGGGGTGGCCCCTGCCCACTCCCCACAACTGCGGTCCTCACTGCCAGCTCACCCAGGCTGAACCCCAGGTCCAAGCCACAGCCAGGCCTCAGTCTCCAGTTTGGGGTCCTGGGGTAGCTGAGCCTGACCTCTCTGCCCTAGGAGTGTGCACCATGCCCGGGAGGCCGCCCTGAGCAGGAGTATGGAGCTCTACCGGAATGCACCTCCCACAGCCCTAGGTGTCCCCACCAAGCTCCTGCCCCCGGGCCCTGAGGGCAAGGGGGCTGCCAGCTACCCCTACTGCAGCGCGGCCCAGGAGCTGGGGCTGCTGGTTCTGGAGAGCTGCCCACAGAAGAAGCTGGGGTGCATAGGTATGGGAGTTTAGGGAGCAAGCAGGGGTCTGGTCAGATACAACAGATGCCTTCCCCTCTGGGCCACAGCCCCACTCTGAGGGGTGCACCCCCAATATGTGTTGACTCTCCCAAGAAGGGTGGGCAGTCCTGGGAGAGAAAATGCCCCACACAGCCCTATTCCTGTGCCACAGTGCGGACCTTGCGAGTCATCTGCATCTGTGCCGAAGACTACTGCCGTGCCCAGGAGCTCATGCCTGAAGCCGGACCCCAAACCCCTGTAGCCGCCATGTGAGTCCCAGGACAGCCACAGGGACATTGGGCCTGAGGCTGTCAAGCTCACAGAAGTTAGGGTAGGAGAGGACAGCCCAGGCCTGGCATGTCCAGAGCTGATCCCACCGTGGGGGACATGGGCTCAAAGGGCAGACTCCCACCCGTGACCAAATCCCAGCTCTCTGCATCAGCCAAGGCTTCTTGAGGATTGGTCAAAATGAGCCTGTGCCTCCCAGAAGCCTGCGGTTGGACTCCCATTTGCACACTTAGGGGGAGCCCAGGGCATGGTGCTCCTCCACTGACTGCCCAACTGGGTGTTTCTGGCATGTCCTGGGTTGTCCCCACCTGAGCCATGGAGCCCAGCAATGCTTCATCCTACCTTGAACCCCACCCCAGGCTCAGCTGTGGTCAGCATCCTTCTGACCTGGAGCCAGTGTCCCCCACAGTGCCCATGAGCCCTGCTTCCTGCTGCCCTTCCCAGGGACCAGGGCTGGCCGTGAAGACACCTGTAATTGCAGGTGGAGAGGTCTGACCTCTGCCCCACCCCAGCCCCAGGTAGAGGTCAGAGCTGTGCAGTGTTTGTCTGCACACTGGGATCAGTGGCCACCCTGCACAGGGCCTAGCAGCAGATGCCAAGGAGGCAGAGCTGGATCCCCCAGGCCCGTTTACTATCCTGAGTTACAGGACTAAGAGTCTGCAGGTCCCACCTCAGTCTACCTTGGAGCCAGCGGGTGTCCTACCCTGTGCGGTCTGTCAGCCTTGAGCCTGATTCTGCTTTAGACTCCTTGCTCCCCTGGGCCTTGCAGAAGCTCCCAGGCTGAGTGCCATATGGCCTTGCAATGCCATCAGTGCATGTGGGCCCTCCTAAGGCAGGCCTGGAGGTCTGGTTTTGAGCTGACCGACCCCAGTTTCAGGGACAGCCACCTGTGGCCTGGAGAGGACCCTGGGAAGAAGGGGCACCCAGAAGCCTGAGAGGTCCCTGGACCAGAGGAGCAGGAGAGCACCACACTTCCAGACTGGGCCCTGCCGCACACTTGGGCGCTTCTGCTGGTGTCCTGCACCACTGGTGGGTGGGACAGTGCCAAGAGAGCAGCCAGCCAGGCTACACTGGCCCCAGGGGCCACGGGTTTGGGGAGTTGGTGGCTGCTGTGGCCCCAGAGCCCATTAGCCATGGTGCCCCTGCTTGGCAGTGGCGCGGATGATTTGCTGCCCATCTTGTCCTTTGTGGTGCTGAGGAGCGGCCTTCCCCAGCTGGTATCAGAGTGCGCGGCCCTGGAGGAATTCACCCATGAGGGGTAGGAACTCCCAGGTGGGGGGGGCAGGGATCCCCACAGGAAGATCGGGGCATCAGGTACCTCACCCCTGATCTAAGCCTGTGGTTGGCAGACAACGGGCTACATGTGGGACATTGACCCCAGTGTGTTCCCAGTACCCTAGATGAACCGAGGGGCTATCTCCAAGGGCAGTCATGTCCTAGGGCTGTTTCCCAGCCTTGCCATCCAAGGGTGAGGACAGGTGGTAGGGAGAGGCCTCCCTACAACCCTAGCTGTGGTCCTCTCAGTCCAAGTCCTAGCCTGTGGGTGACACCTGTACCTCTGCCTACCTCTCTCAGGTACCTGATTGGAGAGGAGGGCTACTGCCTGACATCACTGCAGAGTGCCCTGAACTACGTGGAGCTGCTGCCTCGGGGGCCCCTGGGCAAATAGTAGAGCCTGCACCCCAGGGCCACCTCAGTACTCACTGAAGATGACCCCTTTGGTCTCCATGCTGCTCTGCACTCAGGTGCCAGGCACTGGGGGCAGCCAGCTGTGGTGGAGCCCCAGCTCTGGTCCCTTTCTTGGTCTGTAGCTGCCCCTGATGCTCAGGGCAGCCTCTTTCTGCAGCAGGACAGGCACATCAGCTCCCTGCACCCTGCTGTCCTGTGCCTGCCTCTGAGAGGCCCTTGGAAGGAAGCCTGGAGCTGCCCCTCCTCAGGGGTACTGCACAGAAGGACCAGAGTCCAAAGCAAGAACCACTCTCCCCTGCCTGAACCTGGGCACAGTAGGGAGGACCCTGCTGTTTATTTATTGGGCAGTGGCTGCCCTGTTCAAGTCGGGGCTTGGAGCTGCGCCCCCTCCCTGGCAGGAGCCCCCTCCCTGACTCATTATGGCAGTGTTTAATGGATGTTCTGGGACCTAGCCAACTCCCTCCCTGTCCTGCCTTTCCCAGATCAGTGTGAGTCCAAGGGTTCCTGGCCATGTGGCTACCAGCTGGGCTCAAAATAAAGAGATCACCGCAGTTTGCCTTGGTGTGGCTCCTCTGTCTCCACTGATGGGCCCAGGCTCAGGCTCAGGCAGCAGTTTTCCAGACCTCTGCCCTGGAGCAGGGTCGCAGGGCTGCTCTGGCCAGGATGGCATGGGCTTACTCAGCTCCACCCACAGCACCACCCAGGGGGCCTCTTGTGATCATTGCGTCACAAAGGGACACAGATTGTTCAGATGGTGGTGTGGAGTGCCCCACAACAGCTGTGTGTTCTACCCACTGACATGCACTCAAGTGGCCCGTGGCATCTGAGCTCCCCTGGTGGCCCCACTTCCGCCTGTGCACTTGAAGGCCTTGTGGCTGTGCATTCCCCATGAGAGGACATGGGGCCTTTAGATGGCCATGTGTCCCCTGTGGGAGGACAGAGACCAGTGACCTGAAGTGGCAGCACTTCACATGTGGAGAGGCACATAGTGCCCAGATGGCAGCCTGCAGAATAGGGAGGCAGGAAAGGAAGCGCCACTACAGGGAAACAGGTGGCTGGGTACTAAGGACACAGTAGCTGGCGGTGGGGTGGTGGCTGGAATCTGACAACCCTGCTCAGGCCTCAGCACTGACTAAAGCACACAATAGGGGGTGATGAGCGGTACACTGCATGAGCCTGCACACAGCCACCCCTACACAGCGAGGCTGCTGTGTCTTCCACGTGACTGCAGTAGCCCTCAGCTTTCCTCAAGCATAGCAGCCCATAGAACAGAAATGAACAATACACAGTTCCCACTGGGAATCCTGCAAGTCAATAAGAGGCAGGTGTCCCGATTACGAAAAATAATAGTGGCTTCCGATGGGCTGTGTGTCTACAGGAGGAAACAAAGCGCTCGGGCCTCGAACCCAGGGTCTCATGCAGGCCAGCCAAGCGCTTTACCTCTGAACTAGGTCTCCAGCCCGAGGTTGCTTTTTAAATATTTTTCTCGGGGGCTGGGGATTTAGCTCAGTGGCACAGCGCCTGCTTGGCAAGCGCGAGGTCGTGAGTTCGATTCCCGGTACCGGGAAAAAAACATTCAAACAAAAAAATTAAATATTTTTCTGGTAGTGAGAATTAACCCAGGAAGCGCTGAGCTACATCCTTAGCCTTTATTTTTTTATTTAGAGACAAGGTCTCACCCAGCAGGCGTCGAACTCGCGATCCTCATTCCTCAACCTCCTGAGCAGCGGAATCACAGGTGTGCGGCAGCACGCAGGAGGAGGTTGCTGTAGGAGGCGCCTGTATGTAATCCCAGCTGTGTGAACGGCTGAGGCAATTAATTGAGCAAGATCCTATCTCAAAATTTTAAAATGAACAGAGGTCAGGGTACTCCTCAAAAAAAATAAGGGACGAAAGCGCTGGGGCCCCGCCCTCAGCCCCGCTTGCCTCCAGCCTATCCCCACCTGGCCAGGTGAAGGTCCCGACCCTAGAGACCCTGCTTCCTCTCGCACCAGGCGCCGGAGTGCTCCAAGGGTCGGTGCGAGCAGTCCGCGTCGCGGGGTGAGGTCATTGACCCAGCGCCCCCTGGATCCCTCCAGCATTGACCGGTATCGCCCCGCGGAGCAGACGTACTACGCGGTAACAAGAACCAGTAGAGGAGCTCTGGCAGGTGTCCGGCAGGGCAGAACCGCAGCCTGCGTCCCGGACCACCCCAGCCGACGGGGGCGGTCCTGAACCAGGCTCCGCCCGCACCCGGGGGATGTGGCCGGGCGCCAAAGCCCCGCCCACGCCGGACGGAGAGAGCTTGAGCCAAAGCCCCGCCCCACTCTCGCTAGGCCACGCCCACGCCGCCGGGTTGGTCCCGAGCCGAGCCCCGCCCCGACGCTGGGGCCGTGGTCTGGGGGCCGAGCCGCTTGCTGCGGAAGCGCGTGGCGGCGGAGGCTTACGGTGAGCGGCGCCGGCACCTTGGGGATAGCGGGGTACCGAGAGGTAGCGCCGCAGGCTGCGCACGCTCCAGTGGGCGCGGGCGCGGGCGCGAGCTCCGGCCGTGAGCGGTGTCTAGGGGCCCCAGGATGGGCAGCAGCTCGCTGTCGGAGGACTACCGCCTGTGCCTGGAGCGAGAGCTGCGGCGCGGCCGCGCAGGCGTGTGCGGGGACCCCTCGCTGCGCGCCGTGCTCTGGCAGATCCTGGTAGAGGACTTCGACCTGCACGGCGCGCTGCAGGACGACGCGCTGGCGCTGCTCACCGACGGGCTCTGGGGCCGCGCCGACCTCGCGCCCGCGCTGCGCGGCCTGGCGCGCGCCTTCGAGCTGCTGGAGCTGGCGGCTGTGCACCTGTACCTGCTGCCCTGGAGGAAGGAGTTCACCACCATCAAGGTGCGAGCCGCCCGGGGGGGTCGCGGTGGGCGCCGCCTGATGGGGACCCTGCCCTCCTCAGTGCTCTCGAAGCCATAGTGGCCGTGGAAACCCTAGGGGGGGCGCAGGGGGATTGAGGACCCATGGTCATGCTGACCTCTCAAGGGTGTGGCCCGCGCCCTTGGGTATAGGAGGGCCCTGTGGCTGGGAGAACCACCGGTGGGGCCCGCGCGGGGCAGGGGGATTGCCCGGGGGAGGCGGGGCCGCCGCGTGCCCTCAGCTCGTTCAGTGGAGTGGGATGGCGATGACGTCAGTGTGCACGTGGGCGAGGTACGCCTCCGCCGGTTGTCATGGCAGCGGCCGTCTCTCCCGTGGTGCTCCGAAGCCGGCTGCCCCGTGGGGCACCTGCTGGTCCAGGTTCCAGGGCTTTCATTCACCCTTTAGACCAGCGTGTAGGGCCCACGGGGACAAAAGTGGAACAGGCGGGCCGGCCCCAGGCACCCACAGACTGGGCAGGGTCAGGGCTTCTGTCTTCAACTGAGCATGTTGCGTAATATCGCTGAGCCATTTCCTCTAACAAAGGGGCACAGTGGTCCAGTTCATAAGGCTTCCGGGAGAGGAAGTGCAGCAGCGGGTGCCTAATGTCTGTGGGGTGTCACACTCCCAAGGTCCAAGAGGAATGCTGCGGGGACCCGCGAGTCAAAACGCTACGTCGGTCCTGATGGTGCTCTCTGGGCTGCCCAGGCCTCGTAGTTTAGAAAGCACTTTCCCACCTGTTATTCCCGCACTCTCACCAGCTTCCCATTAGTCACTGGAGCTTTTTATTTTTTTAAATTTTATTTATTTATTTATTTATTTATTTATTTATTTATTTATTTATTTATTTATTTATTTATTTATTTATTTATTTTTTACCCGGTACCGGGAATCCAACTCACGACCTTGCGCTTACCAGGCAGGCACTGTGCCGCTAAGCTAAATCCCCAGCCCTTCACTGGAGCTTTTTAAAATGGTTCGTCCACACAGTGGAAAACCACGCGGTGAGGGAAGATGCGCCACAAAGTCGGTCCTGCCAGGGAAAGCGCTACAAGACTTGTTGTTGGGAAAGACCAAAGTACAGGAGGATCACTGTGAGTTCGAGGCCAGCCGAGGCTACCTAGCAACACCCTGTCTCAAAAAACAAAACAAAACAAAAAGCAGCAGCAGCTAACTGTTCTGTAATCCCAGCAGTCTGGGAGACTGAGGCAGGAGGATCAAAAGTCCAGCCTACCCTGAGCAATTTAGTGACTTATTGAGACCTCTCAAATAAAGGAAAGCGTTGAGGATGTAATTCAGGGCAAAGGCCCATTCACATACATGCATATACAAACAGAGCCAAAATGAAAGAGTAGCAAATGCAGGGAAACCACTGGAGGACATGTGTGGCCGTGGGCGGGGGCCCTGAGAACAGAACTGCTCAGCACATAAGCCAGGGGTGATGGCGCATGCCTGTAATCCCAGCACTCAGGAGGCTGAGGCAGGAGGGTCCTTGTGAGTTTGAGGCCAGCCTAGGCTACAAAGTGAGCTCAAGGCCAGCCTGAACTGCATAGGGAGACCCTGTCTCAAAAAAGACACACACACAAAAAACTGCTCAGCGTAGCATTATTTGTTCTGCGCCGTGCACTGGCTCAGTGTGTCTGACAGTAAGCCCCCGATTTATGAATGAGGTCCTTTCCTGCAACACTTTCGTAAGTCAGATTCGTTCATAATCCAACAAAGTGAGTCTATAAAAGACACCCGCAAAAGTTCTCAACCCAAATGTTGTCAGGGACTTACTGTACTTTCAATTAAATCTTAAAAGCCCTGCCATCCAGCCTGCCCCAAACAGACCGGCCTAAGGGCGGGCACTAGCATCACAAGCTGGCTGTGGTGGCGGCACAGGTTGCCAGGAGGGCAGTTGCTTACAAGGCCCCCTCTACAGACCTTCTCCGGGGGCTACGTGCATGTGCTGAAGGGCGTGCTCTCCGAGGAGCTCCTCATCCAGAGCTTCCAGAAGATGGGCTATGTGCGCAGAGACAGCTACCGCCTGACCGTCGCCGCCCCACCCCCCGCCTGCCAGCTGGTCCAGGTGGCCCTGGGCTGCTTCGCGCTGCGGCTGGAGTGTGAGATCTTGGGGGAGGTGCTGACCCAGCTGGGTACCAGTGTGCTGCGAGCTGAGGATCTGCTGCAGGCACGTCGGGCCAGCGGGGACGTGGCCTCCTGTGTGGCCTGGCTGCAGCAGCGCCTGGCCCAGGACGAGGAGCCACCACCCCTGCCCCCACGGGGCCACCCTGCCACATATGGGGCACCTCTGGACCTGTACCGGGACCTGCAGGAGGATGAGGGCTCAGAGGAGGTCAGCCTATACAGAGAGCCCTCGCCTGGCCCTGACTCACCCCCCGGGGAGCTGGCGTACCCGCCACCGCTCTGGGAACAGAGCGCCAAACTCTGGGGCAGCAGGGGCCACACCTGGGAGCCCCCGGCTGAGGAGCTTCCCCGGGCCAGCAGCCCACCCTACGGGGCTCTGGAGGAGGAGCTGGAGCCTGAGCCCTCTGCCTTCTCCTTCCTCTCACTGCGCCATGAGCTGAGCCACCCTGGGGACCTGGCCACTCCCGAAGCCTCTGGGAGCCCAGGGCGGGCCAGTCCCAGGCATGGGCGGGTGGAAGGAACACCAGCCTCAGCCTATGGCCCCGCCTCTGAACCCCTGGGATACCAGGCACACAGCTGCCTGGCGCCCGGTGCCCTACCCACCCTGTGTTGTGACACGTGTCAGCAGCTACATGCTGCCCACTGCGTTGCACTGCCCACCTGCCGCCCAGGGCATTCACTGCGGGCACTGCTCAGCGACACCCAGAGGCGCCTGTGGCTACAGCGTGCCCGGGTAGATACCCTGCTATACGACAGTGCTGGGGCCCGACCCTAGGTTCTACTGGCCAGCGGTTGCAGGCGACAGTTTCCATGGTGCTTTTCTGGAGGTGGCAGGGGCCGTGGCTGTCCCCTCCTGTCCTGGACAGTCTGGCCTTGCATTGTGGGAAGGGACCCTACCCCTTTTAGCAGAGCCTGCGCTGGGCCACAGGGACTCCTGTGCACCCCTGTCCTCAGTGCCCAGCCCCACACACGCCAAGAGGGGTGTCAGTCTATCTGTCATGGTGCCCAAACCCATCCCCAGGAAGGGCCTTGCCCCTTAGAGGCCCACTGACACCCCACAGTTCCTGGCAGCTTCCTGCAGTTTGGGGTTCAGGACAAGTTCCCTCCTCCCTACACAGGCCCACCTGGGAGGCTCTGCTAGGTGCAAGGCTGACCCAAGGACCAGGTCTCTCCCCTGGGCATCACAGCCAGGAGAGCTAGGAGGCTGTCACCCTCCTGCCTGGTGGAGGTAATGACTCTCAGCCCTCAGCACCGCAGCTGCCCTGAAGCAGGGGAGGGGCAACAGCAGCCCCCTGTGCCTATGGTAGGTCCAGGGGTGGGCTCTGCTGGCCCAGGAGGGAGTCACTCTGCCTCTTTCCACCCACATGATGGGATGGGCCAGGTCTACCCTGTCCACTTGGGGGCAGGTACAGCAGCCACTGCCTGTGTCCCACCCTTACTGCCTCCACTCTCTGAGCCTCTCGCAACATCCCTGCCCCATCCCTGCCCAGCACCCTGGGGACCCTTCTCTTGTCGCACGAGTCAGAACTCCACAGTAAATTAAACAATAGTGAAACCATGTCTGCTCGGAAGGCTTTTATCTCTTCACCCCCAGGATGGGCGCCCACTTCCCCATCGAGTCTCAGCGGCATCCCCTGCCACCGTCCTCACCCCACACTGGGCCCCTCCTTCCCACCTGGACTCTGGCCAGCCCTTCCCGGGGTCATCAGAGCCTATTTGTACCTTAGGTGGCCCCAGAAGATCATGCTGATCCCAGGCCAGGGCCCAACCCAGTGCCAGCATTCTCCCTGGGTTCTGTGCAGCAGTGTTAACAGGAATGGTGGCCCCGTACCACCAGAAGGTGGCATCACAAGGCCCCGTCCTTCCCCATCACCCGCAGTCCACACCCTGCCAGCTGCTGAGCAGGGCGACCTCTGATCTGGAGTCATCCGGAGCCAGCATGTGGCCATCATCAGGGCTTGCACCGTTTGCTCTGACCTTCCGCTGTGCTCGGGGCAGCCCGCTTATTGCGGTGGTGGGGGAAAGTGGGCATGAGCTCCGGCTCACAAGCTGCAGAAGAGGGCACCGCAGTGCTAGGCTGGAGGTGCACTCCAGGTCTGAACCCCAGGGTGCCAAGGCCTGGCCTGGCTGCCCTGGAACCCTGGTGCAATACCAGCTCCCCGCCTCCCCCAAAGGGTCTGCACAGAGAGCCCACCCCACATAAGCACAGAGGGCTGCCACCCAGCCCAAGCCAAGCTGAGCCTGAGGGGGTAGGGAACTCACGAAGGGGCTTCTCCTTAAAGTAGGAGCTCTCCAGGCAGTCCCCCGCTGTCGCCCTGGAGAAAGGCAGCCCATTAACGGGACCATTAGCCTCAGGGAGGCCTGTTTGCTGTGTGCCCAGCCCAGCCCAGCAGCCTCTGGGCCAAACATCTACCAACAGAAGGGGAGGTAGTAAATAGGGGTTTGCGGCCCAGAAACCCGTAGAAGCCAGGGTGGGCCTGTGAGTCCTCACTGGGCACCTGAGCCTGAACGTCTGGCAGGGCCCTCCTGACAGCAGTGCAGCCTATGCACTGGGCAGTATCTTTAAAGGAGTTTGGTGTGGCTCATGGTGGAGTAACTGCTGTGAAAAGATCCTGGGGTCTCTCCCTGGCACCACAAGAATGAACACTGGGTTTGGGTCAAAGCCGTCTCCATTCTGCTCAGGCCAGCACCCTCTCTCATGTTGTGCCCAGAGCAGCTTGAGCCATAGATCACCACTTCCAGCTTAATCACCCTGTGCTCTAAGCCCCAAACCCAGGCAACACTGGATATGGTGCTGCAGGTGGCGCCCACACCTTTTCTTGGGATCATACATGAAGAGGAAATTCAGCAGACGCAGCCCGGCCTCAGAGAGCCATGGAAACTTGTGCTTCAGGTTGTTGTACGGCTGCTTCCTCAAGCTGTACTGGCTGGCCAGCGGCAGCTTGGAAAAGCCCTGCAAGGAGCAGGGAGGGAGAGCTGGAGCTCCAGAAGGGACAGGGATGGGGCTGGGCAGGCCAGGGGTGGGTAGGGGCACAAACCGGCCAGATGTTCTCACTGGGCGTCCCCAGCAGTTGCACAATCAGGTCAACCTGGTGGATCTCAGATGTGCCAGGGAGAAGGGGCTTGTGGGCCAACAGCTCAGCCAGGATGCAGCCCACGGCCCTGCAGGGGAGGGGCCGCCAACTGCTCTGAGCACCATGCTGACACTGGTCAGAGGGTGCTGTGAGGGGACAGGCACACAACCGAGATGAGGGCAGACCTGCCTCCCCGAGACCTGAGTACTAGAGGCTGGGGAGCAGCAGTGCAACATCTCACGTCCTCTGGAGCTGGGATCAGGCCCAAGTCCCCCACCCTTCCCCAGGCCCTCACAGCAAGCAGCCCTCTCACCACATGTCAATGCTGGTGGTCTGGGTTGTGGTTCCCAGCAGCAGCTCAGGGGCACGGTACCTGCACAGAGACATCACCTCAGCTCTGCTGCGAGCTCTGCTCCAGGCCGAGTCCAACTTCCGTCAGGCACAGCCATCCCAAAGGCCAAGGCAGTCTCAGCAACAGGGTCACCACTCCCAGCCCTAAGCCCAAGTGCAGGCGACATGGGCAAAGTGCTGCAGGCAGAGTGCTATGTGGGCAGTAGGGTCCTAAGTCACAAACTGCCACATCCTCGGCACATGCCTTGGACAGCCTGTTCTCCTGTGGGGGCTGAGTGACACTCAGCAGAGGCCACATGGGTCTTGGTGTCCTGTCCTAACCACCACCCTGCTCTGCCTGCCACCACCCTTCCCTCTGAAGGCCCTGGCTGTGCCAGGACAAGGTGGAGCCTCCTGTGTGAGGCCGCAGCCTGTCACCCTTTCCCTGGGACAGAGATCGGTTCCTACAGATTCAAGACATCCACCCCAGGGCCTCCATGTTCCCGAGGGACTCACCAGAGGGTGACCACCTTGGGGGTCATTGGCTTTACTGGGACACCATAGGCCCGGGCCAGGCCAAAGTCCGCTGCAGCAGAAGCAGAGAGGGGAAGGCTGATGGCGGGGGCCAGAGCTGGACTCAGGTGACAGACAAGCCAGCCTGGCCTTCAGGGCTTTTATGAGTGCCAACACCCCACCTCCTCCACACAGGCAGGGCCAGTGCCAACAAGCACCTACCTGTTTTCACACAGCCCTTGTCAGTCATGAGTAGATTGGAGACCTTCAGGTCCCTGTGACAGAAAAAGAAGTCTGGTGCTCCCAGGAAGCAGTCCCATAGGGCCCTAGATGAGACTGTCACCACAGTGCTCACAAATGGTCCTGAGTGTGTCAGCGCCAGCGGTGGCGAAGGACACACAGCAAACAACGCAGACCTACAAGTGCTGGACCTGGGTGACTACACCACTCAGCTCTCTAAGCAAGAGCAGGAGGGGTACATGGGGGCTTCTCAGACTCCCTTGGTCTTGGACCCCCTCCCCGCAGACAGAGAAATGCTGGGTATCCTCTGTTATCCTCCAGCACTTGGAGGGCCTACAGGTCCAGATCCTCATGCCCAGGACATGCCCACCCCCAGGACACGCCCTCCACTACAGCCCTGCCCACCTGTGGATGATGAAGTTCCTGTGCAGGTACTGGAGGCCCCGGAGCACCTGCAGCACGATGCACTTGACCTGTGTGAGCATGGAGGCATTGGTCACGCCCGCCCAAGGTGGGCCCCAGCTGTACCACATCGGTACGGGCCACCAGACCCAGTAGTCCCCAAGGTAGCCTCATGAGCCTGATGTGGCCAGGAAGTGCTGCTGTCCTCTCTGCTTCCCGGTGACCTGTCTGCTGCACAGACGGTGAGAACCCAGCTTTCCAGTGCCCCACAGGTAATTCCACATTCTCAAGCTTCCTGGGCCAGAGTGGGTCCACAGGCCGTGCTGCGCAAGTCAAGACCACCTACCTGGGCCTCAGAGAAGGGTGTGGGCATATTTTCCAGGAGGCTGGCCAGGTCCTGCTCACAGTAACCCATCACCAGGAAGATGCTGTGCAGAGAAGGTCAGGACAAAGCCATGCTGCCTCCCGTGTCTCCTGGCACATAGGGCCAGACCCACTGGACACCCAGGGACTAAGTCAGGACGCACACCTCTCCAGATGGTTCCCCACCACCACCTCCTTTAGCTCCACAATGTTGGGGTGGCGCAGGCGCAGGAGCAGCGTTATCTCCCTCAGGCTGCTGATGGGGATGCCTATGACAGAGCCGGCCAGGTGAGCACCGTCCACCACCCATGCCCCAACTCCACACACACTCTATGAGAGGCCACCACCAACCCCAGCACTCCTCCTAACCCTTCATCAGCACTGTTCGTGACAGCGCACCCTGCAGGGTGCAGGCAGACCTGGAGCTTGGCACCAGGGAGACAGCTGAGCTGGGATGGAAGGCGGTAGTCATGACAATGGCAGGACAGCAGGAACAGAGAGAACCCAGAAGTGGGAAGCAGGGCTGGGGAACTGAGGCTTGGATGGGGTGACAGGTGCCCGTTCACCATGACACAGGCACCCTGGGGATGTTTAGTACTGAGAAAAGCTCAGGTAATGTGCACACTGCTACACCTGTGCTAAAGTCCAGCCAGAACGGTCCACACCCCTACTGCCACTCACCATCCTTCTCCTTGTCCATCCGCACCTTCTTCAGGGCGACAATCTCGTCTGTCTGGGTGTCCCGGGCCCGATCTAGAGTGGGAACACATCTAGAATAGTCTACCCCAGACTCTGTCCAACGCCCTTGAGCTCCCCTGGGCCTCCTTTTCTTGACGACCTAAGGCCTAGCGACATTTAGTCCTTGCTCTGCACACATGAAGCCCCAGCTCGAGACACGAGCTACCCAGAGTTTCCTCTCATGCAAGCTGGGCAGAGGGCGCCCAGCTTTGATCTGTGTGCTGAATCCTGGCCTCAGCCCCTCGTGTGCATTCTCCTCCTTAGCATGTGCACCGCTGCTGTGGGTTTGCTTACTGTATCTAGAAAAAACAACCCTTATTTGTGCAAAGATGGCTCCACAAAGCCTTTTGGCACTTTGTGCAGCTTCCAAGCACTTGGCTGAATGACTCACACTCCTGGAGCTACTATGAGGTCCAGCTGCTTGAGGAAGCTCCCCTTTATCACTGACAGTTCTGCCCTTCTGCGCTTACCCACTGGTGTGCTGACAATCTCCTATATCAGGACAGGCTGTGAAGCACACAGAGTTACACCAGCAATGAAAGCTCCCCAGCCAGCCTTTGCTCTGGTCTGCACTACAAGGACTGAGCCCCATGCAGCCCAACGCGGTGCCATGGTGACAGTGCACCCAGTACTAGCGGAAGCCCACCTGAGGCCCAAGGCCCCAATGTCGGCCACTCACACACGATGCCATAGGTGCCCTCGCCGATGCGGTTCAGCTTCTCAAACTCTTTCACGCTCCGGCACCGTCCCAGCTGAAAGAGAGATGCTACTGTGTGGGTTCATGGACGCTGACGGGACAGGCAAGATGGGTATGTGGCCCAAAACATGCCAAGAGGCCAGCTTCTGGTCACCAGAGAAGCAGCCTTTCCAGTAAGAGGAGAAGGGCGCCAGGCCCACACTGAAGGAAACTCAGAAGGGGCCCACCCACGCCCTCTCATCCCATGCTCACGTGTGCTGTGGAGGCTGACACCGTCGGAGACGGTCTCCAACCTCCATAGTTCCTTCCTTGTTTGTGTTGGATAGCACTACCGGGGCACTACAGAGATTGAACCCCACTTGAGCAAGCTGGGCAAGAGTCTGGCACTGAGTTACATCTTCAGTCCTATTTTTGACAGGGTTTATGTAGTTAAGGCTAGCCCTGAACTCACTATGTAGCCCAGGTTGCCCTCGAACTCGTGGAGATCCTCCTGCCTCAGCCTCCAGAGTGCTGGGATTACAGGCATACACCACCAAGCCTGGTTAGCCCTTTTTATTTTTGTTTAGACAAGGTCTCTTTTTCTTGTCTAATTCTCCTGCCTCAGCCTCCAGAATAGCTGGGATTTGGGATACCCCAATTCTTCTCACGGGCAAATTCCTGGCCAGCACTGCTGCTTTTGCAAATCTGGTCGTAGGCTCCAAACTCGTAACTCTGGCGCCGCGCGCCCCCGCCCTGCGCGCCCCCGCCCTGTGCAGCGCCGGCCGCAAGGAATTCTGGGACTGTCGTTCCCGCGAGTGCAGGAAACAGCGGCACTGACTCCCTGGTCACTTCGATCCGGCCCGCAGGTCGCGAGGCGGGCTGCGCTGCGCGAGTGGCACTCCGTCGCACCCTGTGTTCCGGAGGTACCGTGAAGAAGCCTTCCTTACGGATACACTTCAGGCGGATCTGCTCGGACTCCGGGTCAGCATCCGCCATGCTTAGCGCCGCCCCGCCCTCCGTGTACGCAGGCGCACGACCTACTTCCGGCCGCCTGGTCCTTAGCAACGGTTACTACAGACTCTCCCAGCGCCAGAGCGTGTGGGCTCAGCGTGTACTACCCACGTTCCGGCCTTGGAGAAGCGGAGCGGAGCCGCGGCGACTCTCCGGGTGGGGATCGGGCCGTCGGCCTCAGCGGGCATGGGCGCCTCTGTGCCGGGCAGCAGAGGAGCGAGCTCTCCGCTCCCGGGCGAGTCGAGCCCGGGCCCCAGCCCCAGCCCCAGGCCCCGAGGAAGCGCGTGGGCTGCAGTCGCCCGGGGCGTCTATGCTGCGAGCGTTGCCCCGCCCTGAAGCGGGAAGAAGGAAAGTCTTGATGGAGGTTTACAAGCGTCGTGTCTCCTGTTTTGACTTCACTGTTGAAATCCAGCGGGGGTAACAGCGCTCGAACGACCGTCCACAGCCAGACCTTGACTACGCTCGGATCGCTCTAGACCCGCTAGAAGCTGGTTTGCCTGTTTGTCTCTTCTCCCTCCCCACGTCACAGCTTGTAGGTTCCAGGAGATGTTTAAGTGACAGCAAGTCCCAGTGCTTCAGGTCCTCCACGAGACAGCTGCAAATGAGCTCTGTGCTGTGGCAGCTGCTGGCGACCTGAAAGCAGCCTCTCTGGAGGAGAGTCCTCGGTGAGGCCAGCCTCCCCCATCTCCAGCCAAAGCCAGGCGGGGGCCTGTGATTCAAGAGTTGCAAGTCCCGTCCTCCCCGTCCACTCTCACATTTGCCTCCACAGATTGGGAAGTGGATTGGCTCTGGAGCCAGCGGGGAGGACTGAGGGATAGGGAAACAGAGTATGGGCCGCTGGAGAGCAGCTCGGGGGTCCCGGGGGCACGCTCAGTTCAGTAGGTGGTATGTGAATGTGCAGAAGGTTGAGGTGAGGGCTGGAAAGTTGGGCTGTGCCTGCTCCTAGATGTCCAGAGCACAGGCCCATCTGGGCTCCGGTCGCTTAGGTTAATGCAAAACAGGTTTTCAGTAGCAAATCAACATCTAAAATAATTAGATCAGGCGGGCATGATGCCCTATGTCTCTAATCCAAGTACTTAGGAGGTTGAAGCAGGAAGACTGTGTCTGAGACCAGCCTGGACTACGCAGTGGGACCCTGTGTCCAAAAAACTACTTAAATAATTTCCAAATTAGGCTTCTGGTGGCACATGCCTGTAATCCCCGCACTCAGGAGGCTGAAGCAGGAGGACTGCTGTGAGTTCAAGGCCAGCCCAGGATACATTGTGAGTTCAGAGCCAGCCTACCTGCACTACAAAATGAGAGCCTGTCTCAAAAAAGCAAAAATAAAAATAATTAGGCTTCTGCCAGATTGCTTGCACCTTGTCTCTGGGCAATTTAAAACATTTATACAAAAGTCTTTAAATAGTAACATATCTTCATGCTATACTACATTCTTTCGGTTGTATGTATGTATAAATACATGAGGACTGTATGCATGCACTAGATAGGCCTACATGTATATGTATGTACTAGATAGGTGTGCATGTGTTACTGTGTGTAGGCATGTATATTGTATGCTTGCCTGCATGTATATGTGTATTACTAGATTGACTTGCATGTGTATACTAGACAGGGTTTTATGTATGTACTACATAGGACTGTATGTACTAGATAGGAATATATAAATATAAATAACAAGCCTGTATATATTATGTATGAGATAGAACTATGTGCATGTTATGTACTATATAATCCTCCATTTATGTGTGTAGTGTGAGGTAGGACTGTATGTATGTATGTGTGAACTACATAGGCCTATATGCATGTCTGTGTACTAGGTAGGACTGCATGTGTGTATATACTAGGTGAGATTGCATACATGTGCATATACTAAGTAGGGGTGCATGTATGTATGCATGTATTACATAGGACTAGGTGTAAGTATGTACTGGACACTTCATATGTTTGTACTAGGTAGGCGTGTGTGTGTGTAGTAGGTAGAACTGCATGCATGAATGTATTAGATAGGACTGCACATATGTGTGTATGTACTAGATAGGACTGTGTCTGTGTATGAGATACATACACTGCATGGGTGTAGGTGGTAGGTAGGACTGTGTGTGTGTATGTAGTAGGCTGTGTAGTGAGACTGTATGCACAAGGTAGGATTGTGTATGTGGGTACTAGGTAGATGGGCTACATGTATGTATATGTACTAGATAGACTGCACGTTTGTACAAGGTGGGACTGTGTGTGTGTACACAAGATCAGGTTGTGGGTACATACTAGATAGGACTGTGAATATAGGGGCTGGGGATTTAGCTCAGCGGCAAAGCACCTGCCGGCAAGCGCAAGGTTGTGAGTTTGGTTCCCGGTACCGGAGAAAAACAAAAAAAATAAAAAAAAAATAAAAATAAAAAAAAAATAAAAAAGGGCTGGGGATTTAGCTCAGCGGCAAAAGCGCCTGCCTGGCATGCGCAAGGTCGTGAGTTCGGTTCCCGGTACCGGAGAAAAAAAAAAAAAAAAAAAAAAAAAAAAAAAGACTGTGAATATATATTAGGTAAGACCGTGTGTGCATGTAGTAGACAGGAGTGCATGTGTCTGTATATATTACTAGCTAGGTAATTGTATGTAGTAGGTAGGACTGTGTGTGTGCGCACAAAGTAGGACTCTGTGTATGTTAGATAGTACTGCATCTGTGTGCATATACTAGATGGGACTGCATGTGTGTATGTACTAGAGTGCTGTGTGTACTAGATAGGACTGCATGTTTGATTCCTGGCACCAAAAAAAAGGACTGCATATATGCATGTATATAGTAGACAGGACTGTGTGTGTCTGTGTGTGTGTGTGTGTGTGTGTGTGTGAATGTACTAGCTAGGACACTAATAGGTTAGATTCTCTGTATGCACATGTGCATGTATGTGTGCGCGCGCATGTGTATACTAGATAGGCTTGCAAGGCTTCGTAGCAGCCTGGCCCAAAGGTTGCAGTGAGTGACCATCAGAGAGGCTGCCCCATGGCATCATGCTGGATCTCAACTGTCTCGCCACCCTAGGGAGCTTCGTCCATGGAGCCAAAAAGAGGACAGCACTGGTAAGCCACTCCTGCAGCCTAACTGCCCTGGCTGCCCTCCTCCAGATAGTTTATATTATTCCAGGTCTTTCTTTTACAATCTAGGGACTGAACCCAGGGCTTGCACACTGAGCTACATCCCCAGCCTTTTGATTTTTTGAGACAGCATCTCACTAAGCTACTAAGTTGTCCAGGCTGGGCTTGAACTTGCAACCCTCCTCCCTCAGCCTTCCCGAGTGCTAGAGTACAGGCATGCACCAGCACACCTGCCTCTTACGGGCCTCCTTACTCTGGGTCAGCTTGCAGTCAGCTAGGACCCTTTCCGGTGTGTGGCTCCACCCCTCTGCCCCGAGCCATTATGCGTGGCTTAGTCCTCAGACTCTGACCTTCCCCAGAGTTTGGGGCGCAGTGTTCACCGTGACCTCCAGGTACTGCCCCACATGCCTTCAGAAGGGAGGAGACAGGGCTCTAGCCGCCCACAGTCAGCAGGCCATGCCACCTGCTATCCATGGCTCTGCACAGCCAGCCTCTTCTGACGGGCACAGGGATGTGCCAGCTCGCTTCCACAGTGGCCCACAGTGCATCCCGAGCTGGTCCCCCTGGTCTCCACCATGCTACCATGCTGTGGGACTAGATCACAGTGACGGTCACCATAACGGGCTCCCCACAGGGCAGAGCAAAGCTCAGTGCACACACAGCTCCCGGTGCACATTTATTCCTTGGTCTGGGGGATGAAGGCGGCAGCGGTGCTGGGGTTCCTGTGTCGAGAATAGGGGCCCCAGTCAGCCTGCTCCCGAATGGTCCTCTGATCCTCACTCCCTAGAGAATTGTAGCTGTCTAGGGTCTCAGTGGAGGCCCGAGTGATGATGATCTGTGGAATGACAGTTTTCTTCTTGCTCGACTTCTGCTTCACATCGGGTTTGTCTAGAGGGAAGAAAACATCCAGGCATTTAGAGGATGGTGGGGATGTGTCTTCCACATGAAGGCATGTGGGGCAGTACCATGTTCGTTGAAGGAGACGAACCAGACCGTGTGAGCAGAAGAGACGCTGCACAGCTCAGCTGCGGGTTTTGGATCCCGGAAACCCCTTGAGGAGTTTGTGTGCCACAGGCTGGCTGCGGCAACAGATGGGACAGTAGGTCTGTCGTGGCAATTCAGGTCCCCATGCCCAGGTTCCCAGGGTTCTCTCTGGTCAGATCCCCCCATCCAGGACTCTACCAGATGCTTTACTGCTAGACCTAGAGACGGACCTTCTGCTGTCGCCCATATTTCCTTGTATTTACTGGGGTTACAAGGAGTGGGTCAGCCCAGTGCAGTGCCAAGGATGGCACCAAGGCTGAGATGGGAGTGGGCACCCTGGCCTCTGTCAGCACAGCCTCGTGCTTTACAAAGACACAATTATAGCTGGGTGTGGGGGTACGCATCTGTAACCCCCATACTTCGGAGGCTGAGGCAGGAGAATTGAGCTTGAGGCCACCCTGGGCTACATTGCAAAACTGTCTCAAAGAACTGAGACAAATTTTCAAAAATACAGTTACACTGGTCAAACAGTTGCGCAGCATACTTTTCTTCCTCCCTGGAGCCCTCATGGGCTGGTTACACAGTAGGGTGAATAGTCCTTGCTGAGGACAGTAGTGGAGTTTATTTATTCTTGTAGTGTTAGAGATGGACCCTGGGCCTTGCTAAAGCTACGTGAGTGCTCTGCCTGAGCCGAACCCGGCCCTGATGCTGCCCTGAGGTGCCTTGCATCTGTGCCAGCTGTTCTGAGCTCTGCAATAACTACAGAGCACGGCAGCACAGGGCACTATGCATAGGTCCCTAGGGCAACATTTCACGGGAACAGAGGCACAGGGAGCTAAGTCGCCTTCCCGGGGACCAGTCGTTGGGGTAGCAGAGGAGACATGGGTACCCAGTCTTCAACCTTGACCATGCATTGCAGATACATGTGGCCTGTCCAGGCCCTGGGTTGTCTTTTTTATCTCTATATGGAGCCAAAAATCGCATTTCACCATATTTTGTATTTACAGTAAATTGGCGTTCACTTTTATATTGATTAGAAATCATCATATATGTTAAGACTTCAAAAGGTTATGAGTGTTTTTAATTAAAGTAGATATGCAGTGGTAGGGTGTGCTTAGCATGCACTAGGCCCTGGGTTCTATTCCTAGCACCCACAAAATAATCATAGGTTAACAAAAACAGCCAAACACAGTGGCACATACCTGCAAACCCAGCTCCTCAGAAGGCTGAGGCAGGAGAATCACAACTTTGAGGCCAATCTGGGCAACTTAGATCCTGTCTCAAAAAATATATAATAAAAGTAATAGATATTGACTTAAAACTCAAAACATGCTCATGTACAAGTACCAATTCCCCATGATAAGTGTAATCACTGTGTACTGCAACATGTGCAATTAAAAAATTTAAAATGAGGGTGCTGGGGATTTAGCTCAGCGGCACAGCTCCTGCCTGTCAAGCGCAAAGTGGTGAGTTCAATTCCCAGTACCAGAAAAAAAAAAAAAAAATTTAAAATGTACACCTTCCAAACGTTTTCCACATCTCCACCCATACTCAGTATAGAAAGGTGCTTTCCACCCAGCACCGTGGGCTGTACCTGAGGGTCTGCACACCGCTACAGCCCCTCTTGGTATGTGGGGTCCCATCCTTCATGCAAATAGCTCCCTTCAATGTGTAGGGTGTAGGTTATTTCCAATTTTTAAATCCTTTCCATTGCTTGTTTGTTTTTCTTTTTCAGGCTGGTCTTGAATTCACTGTAGCACAGGTAGGCCTCAAACTCACAGTGATCCTCCTGCCTCAGCCTCCAGGTGCTGGGATTCCAGGCATACACCATCATGCCTGGCTTCATTGCACTTACATATTTACATACTATGAGCGTTAGGGTAAATTACTAAAAGTGGAACTTTTGGGTCAAATTGTATAAATGCTTTCAAATGTTGGTACATATTGTCAAATTATTTTCTGTAAAGATTGTATCAGGTTTGGGGTGTAGCTCAGTGGTAGCAGGCACACCTGGCACGCATGAAGCCTAGGGTTCAATCCCCAGCACCCCCCAAAATGTATTAATTTAGACTAAGAAAGGCATTCCCTGTTCTAAACTGATAAAAACATTTAATCATTTTAACTTGGTATTTTTATATAGTTTTATATGCTATGTTAAACTTTGACTTTTGAGTAAGGATTGAGGTTAAAACATTGGTAAGCGTTCTGTTTCCTAATGTGTCCAAGTGTCAACTGCTCTCCCTCCCTGAGTTCCCTGAGCTCCCTGAGCTCCCTGAGCTCTGCGTGCCTGCTGGGCTAGCCCAGGGCCTGGCATGCTCTGGCTTCCTGCTGCTCCTGAATTTTATCTCAGCAATCTGGACCTGTTCCCCAAAGGATCTGGGGATTTGGTGTTTGAATTAACACCTTTACATTACTGAAGCTCTCTAGTCCAAATAAGACTTTTCAACCTTTTTTTGTTTTTTTTGGTACTAGGAATGGAACTCAGGACCTCACGCTTGCCAGGCAGGCACTGTGCCACTGAGCTACATCCTTGGCCCTAAACAAGACTTTTAATGCTGGATGTAGTGGCACATGCCTGTAATCCCAGCATTCGGGGGGCTGAGGCAGAATGATCATTGTGAGTTCGAGATCAGCCTGGGCTACAAAGTGAGCTCAAGGCCAGCCTGAACTGCATAGCGAGACCTTGTCTCAAAAAGACCAAAGGAAAAAAAAAAAAAAAAAAAGACTTTGAATCATTTAGAGATGTACATCTTTCTAGGGCTCCTGATACATACTGTCTGTACTACTGTTTTGGTTTTCAGTACTAGTAGTACAGGCAGCACAGTGGAGGTTGGGAGACCATCCCCCACTACCAACTCAGGCTTGGCAGCAGCCAGACCAGCCCTCCTCCCTGTTACTCAGTCATGGTGAACTCTGGAACATGTCCTGCCTCGGGTGACACAGCACCCTGTCAGTCATGCCTGCAGCCTCACCTAGAAACCCATCAGAGGCACGAGGCTGGGGTGCCCCTCCTAAGAGAGCTGGGAAAGCCTGTCTTCTCTGTGTGTGCTTTTTACTTTCCTGTTGCCCCAGCACTATTTTTCTGTTCACACCACGTTTTTCTTGGCACAAACCTCCCCTGAGCATTTCTTCCTGTGATTGCATGCAATTTTTTGTTCACCTTACACAAGAGCCTGGACTCTATCTGTCACCATCCATCCATGGTGTCACGGGCTGAGCCTAGGGCTTTGTCACTGAGCTGTACCCCCAGCCTCTATGTTTTTGAGACAGGGTCTCACTAAGAGCTGAATCACTAAGATGCCCAGATTGGAGTCAAACATGATCTTTCTGGCTCAGCCTCTCACAGTGCTGGGATTGCAGATGTGCATTACCACACCTGGCTATCAGGCTGGACTGAATCCAGGGCCTTAAGGCTACCGGGGGAGCAGCCTATGGCTGAGCTCCACCCCAGCATTCTGTGCTGGCTTCATTTTCTATTACTGTACCACAAATGACTACAAAAAAATGAGTGGCTGAATCAGCACCAAGTTTATTCTCTTAGGTTCTTTGGACCAGGAGTCCAGGTGTGGCGTGGCTGGAATCCTCTCCAGTGCCCTGGGGGTAGGCAGAATGCAGTTCTGTGTAGGCCCAGGACTGAAGCTCCAGTTCCCTGTGGGCTGTGGGCTGTGGGCAGGAGCTTGACCAGGTGTTCTACAAGGTGTCAGAAAAAGGTGTGGATCTGTGCTTCATATGTTAGTCTTTGATCTCTTTTATACGTTACAAATATTTTTGACCATTTTTGATTAGTTTTGTAAGGGATTAGAGAGAAGTTTTCTTTTTTTTTTTTTGTGCTAGGAACTGAACTCAGGGCCTTGCACTAACTTTTTTTTTTTTTTTTTTTTTTTTTTGAGACAGGGTTTTACTATGTAGTCAGACTGGTCTTCAACTCTATGCACCCAGGCTGGCCTTGAACTCACAGAGATCCTCCTGCCTCAGCCTCCTGAATAGTTTGGCATTATAGGTGTGCACCACTAAACCTAATACGAAAAGAGAGGATCTTTTTTTGTATTAAAACTAGACATTATTATTACTTCAGGGGTTTTTTGAGAAAGGGTCTCACTACATAGTTCAGTCTAACCTTGAACTATGTAACCCATGCTTGCCTTGAACTCCAGGTGATCTGCCTCAGGCTCCTGAGTGTAGGGATTACAGGCTAAAACTATATTTTAACTATTACAACTTTTGAGGTATTTTTAAATTTTTTATTTTATTTTATTTTATTTTATTGTCTTTTTGAGACAGGGTCTCTCTATGCAGCTCAGGCTGGTCTTGAACTCACTTTGTAACCCAGGCTGGCCTCAAACTCTCAGCGATCCTCCTGCTTCAGCCTCCTGAGTGCTGAACTTACAGGCATGCACCCCACACCCAGCAAATTTGTTATTTTTAAAATGTGTACATAGAAAGTTGAAAGAGCAGGCCACAGTGGTCCTGTGTGCCTGCACCCATGCTGTGTGTCCACACTCTACTGACTGCAGGACAGCGTGGATACTGGAACCAACATGGCCAGTGTGTGTGTGGGCAGAAAAGGACCCCAGATCACACACAGCCTCTCCATTGGGACCCAGGATACCCTCACTGCTCTCAGCAGTTACTGTACCCCCGGCCCCATCCTGAGCTCCTGATACTACCGTCTGCCTCCCTCCCACCCTGTCATCCAGAGAAGCACAGACCACATGGCATAGCTGACAGCTTTGGAGATGGGCGTCTTCCTCTGCACGGGTCAAACCCAGGGCCTCCCTGTGCCAGACAAGCTCTCCGCCACTGCTTTTTATTTAGTTATTTTTATACCCCCATGCTTTTTATTTAGTTATTTTTAGTTTGAGACAGGTCTCTCAAAGTTGCCCAAGCTGGCCCTGAACTTTTTTTTAGTATATGTGCTGCCGAAGCGAGCACTGGCCCTGAACTTTTAAACCTCCTTCCACAGCTTGACAAGTAGCTGGGATCATAAGAATGTCCCACACCCCTGCCTGGCAAGCGCAAGGTCGTGAGTTCGGTTCCCGGTACCGGAGAAAAACCAAAAAAAAAAAAAAAAGAATGTGCCACACCACCTGGCTACAGCATGGTAGTTTTAAATAGCTGACAGGAGCTGGGTTGGTGGTGCATGCTGGTAATTCCAGCACTCAGGGGGCTGAGCCAGGAGTATTACCTTGAGTTTAAGGCTAGCCTGAGCTACCCAGTGAGTTCAAGGCCAGCCTAAACTATACCCTGTCTCAAAAAAACAAAAAATAAACAATAAAACCAGAATAAATAAATAGCTCATAGAATGTCTCTTAGTTTATTTTTAAAAAAATTTTACTAGTACATGTTTGCAGTACATGATTACATTCATCATGGGGAGTTGGGACATGTATATAACATATCTTAATTCTTTTACTTCCACCCTCCCTCCCCCAGTTTATTTATTTTTTATTTTCCCCATTTATTTTTAAAAATCCTCTTACAACTTCGCATATTCTACCTCAGAACAAACTTACTATGGAAATATTCAAGCACGTGAAAATAGGATGGTATGATATCTATATCTGCACCACGCAGCTTCAATCAATGTTAGTCTGTTTTCCTCATTTTTTCTCAGTATTTTCAAGCAAATTCCATATAATTCTACTACATATTACAGTGTATCTCTATCAGATAAAGACTTTATTTTATCTTATTTACAGTACCATTATTACATCTAACAAAATTAACCTAGATTCTATATAATTACCTAATACTCAGTCTGTCAGAAGAACCCACCCTATGGTGGTACACACTTGTAATCCCAGCACTTGGGAGGCTGAGGCAGGAGGACTTCAAGTTCAAGGTCAGCCTGTGCTATTAGAGAGACCCTGTCCCAAAAAAACATAAATAAGGTTTACACACTGAAATTTTGGTTCATTACAATGCCTCCTTTCTTTGTGCCACGTATTCACTGAAGAAACTGGATCATTTTTCAGTAGCATTTCCATCATCCTGGAAGAGGCTGACCATAAATAGGTGATGTGTTAATCTCTACAAAACATGCCGAAGGTTTAGTAGAGCAAAGTCCTGAGCTCTGCAGACACTGTAAGCGCAGTGTGACACTCCCATCCCAGCCACCATGCTGACCGACTCAGGACAAACATCTCTCTGGCCTGCTGCTTCCCCTTGACCTGGCCTCTGCCCTACCCCAGACCCCAGCAGTGTAAAACAACCTTTCTTCCTCACAACTACATGGGTGGGAGCCCAGGACAGATATGGCCTAGCAGTTACTCCTGCAGGGGTCCCAGCAGCTGCTGGCAGATGTTACTGGGTGCTGCACCTCAGCAGGCTCAGCTGGGTGGGGCCTCCTACAGGCTTATTCCCTCACAGCCTAGCCCCGCGCTTGAGGTGTTCACTGCAGCCTGTACCTGTGTGGCTCCCAGCCTCAGAGATGGGCACCAATGATGCAACTTCTCTGGAGATGGGGCCTTGTCACATGGCCTAGCCATCCTCAAGCCATCCTCTTCCTCAGCCTCCCGAGGAGCAGGACTCCAGGTGCACACCACTGTGCCCAGCCAGACGCAGTTACTGTGTTCTTTCACCTTTCCATGTGTCCTAATGCTTATCTTTACCGAGGCGACCTGCTGTGGGTACACAGCACAGCTGACCCTTTCTGTGTCCCCAGGTGTAGTTCTAAGAACATTTCCATCACTACAAGCCCCCTGTGCTCATGGCTCACCCCACTCCCAACCCTGGCCCCAGTGGCCACAGACCACTTCTTTCTACTGCTCTCTTTTAGGACACTGCACACACAGGAGTCCTTATGTCCAAAGTCCTTATGTCCAAAGGAGTCCTTGACCAAAGCTTCTTTTCCTGGGCTACGAGTTTGGGGTTGCTCCACAGTGCCGGATGTGGCTTGCTCCTTGTTCCGGCTGAAAATGTTCCATTGTTGGTGAAACCTGTCTTCACCATCTGTCTTAAAAAGCCAGCCTTACAGGGTCTCACTGTGTAGCTCAGGCTGCCTGGAACTGGTGATCCTCCTGCCTCAGCCTCCCAAGTGCTGGGATTACAGGTATGCACCACTGCACCTGGCTTATTTTTCATTTTGAGACAGACTCACTGAATTTCCCAGGTGAGATTCAAACTTGCAGTCCTCCTATCTTAGCCTCCCAAGTTCTGAGGTCACAGGTGTGCGCCTCAGTGTTTGGCTAACCTGTTTTCATGTCTGCCTTCTAACCCTGAGTGACACTGTGTGACAGATGCTGCTGGTGCCCTTCACTGACAGTCCTTTGCTGGCAGAGACTTTGTCCCCTCTGGCCAACAGCAGCAGCGAGAACCGCTTCTTGCAGTTCTGTGTGCAACAGCAGAGCCCTCTGGCTTCCCTGGAGGCTATAGAGAAAACCGTCCTTGACAGTGAGGATGGTAAAGGCCTTGATGTCACAGCTGTGCTGCTGAGCAACTGCTCTGGACGCCTGTTTCTGCTCTTTCCTTTGAGACCTTAAACACTTGGTGACAGTTGATCTGCTGGCTTTTTTTTTGGTACAGAGAATCGAACTCAGGACCTTGCACTTGACAGGCAGGCTCTGTGCCGCTGAACTGTATCACTGGACCCCCTTGGCTTTTCTGTAACTGCAGTGGAGGCATCCTGAGAGTGGAGCAGCATTTTCCATCACTCATCAGAACACCGACAGCCCTTGACTGAGGGGCTCCCAATTTCAAGTGGGGCCTCCCACCGAATCCCAGCACCTGATTTCAAACTGTCTCCTGCTGCACCCCTCGCTGATGCCACAGGCATCTCAGTCTAAGATGACCCATCCCCTGCCAGGCCAGTACTCCTCCTGTCACTCTTCCACATCTGGGCCACCCTCTGCCCACTTCACAAAGAGCAGTTCCTGCTGCTTCCATCTCCTGACCCTTCCGGAATTGCTGCCAACACTGTCTCCTGCTTCCCACCAGGTTCCAGCTTGGCCTTGGGTGGGGCTCCTCCCTGAGCCCTTTGCTTCCCTACCAATCCCGGTTTTGGGGTCAGAAAGACCTTTCCAAGGCACAGATCCCATCACATCTCCCTTTTAGATACTTAACAGTGTTTTCTTCACAACCCACATGATAAATATGTACTTGGGCTTCTCCTGCCCTTTTGGGAGGACTGGGTACTGAGAATTAAACCCAGGGACTTTGAACTAAGCAATGTCCTCAGCCCAGCTTTTATTTTTTGAGACAAATTTTCTCTAAATTGTCCAGGCAGAGCTCCAACTCGCGATCCTCCTGCCTCAGCCTCCCAGATTACAGGTGTCAGCGTCACCAGAGTCTTAGAAACTGAGGCCCCTCTTCACCCCAATGCCTGAGCGCCTCGACTTCAGTGCAGGCCTCCTGGGGTCTCCTACCTTCCCAGGAAGCATAAGGCTGTCTGTGTGTGGCTGTCGCCGTCGCCAGAGGGCTGTCTGAGGGCTTGCCAGCCTCCCCGTCTGTTTGTCTAGTCTCCTGGGACTGCCTCTCCATCAGTTTGTCCTTAGACTTTGCAAAGAAATAGGACGAACTCTTCTTCTGCTCCTCACCTGCAATACAAGAGCAACGAATCGGAGCCACAACCTATGCACTCAGGCGAGGCGCCCAGCAGGTCCGGGGAACGGGCAGGGATCTGGTTCGGCGGCTGCGCCGTTACCTTTCCTGTGTTCCGCCTTGCTTTTGGAAAGTCCCATGGGGAGCCCACCACCCCGCGGGCGCCGGCGTCCCCAACCTCCTCGGCCCCAGCCTACCCCGCTAACTCACAAACCCACCCTCTTCCCAACGCCCGCCGGTCACCACGGCAACCGCACGCCTCGCGAGCTCTCGAGCTAACAGCCCAAGGCGAGCGCCGTCCTCACGCGAGAGCAGGCCGCGCGACCGGAAGTGGCAGCCACCCCGGAAGTCCCCGCCGCGTCCCGCTGGTCGGAGTGCGGGTGTTGCTTCGCTGCCCCGAGGGGTGCGCCTCGGACCGGCCATGGACGGTAAGGGCCGTCGCCCAACTGGGGCTGCGGGTGGGGCTCCCTAGACTCCCGACCCTCGATCCCGGCCCGACAGCCGTCCCCCGGGCCTACACCCTCGATCTCGACGACCGATCCCGACCCGACCCCGGTCTCGCGGGCCTCCATCTGGGTCCCGACCGGAGACTTGGACCCCAGACCCCTGCTCCGTCCCAGGCGCTGTGTGGCTTCCTTCCCGCCAGCTCGCTACTGTGAATGGACAGCAGATACCGTCCTTGGCCTGTGGGGCTTGGAATGTGGGGTCAGAGCGTACCAGAAAAGGTGACAATTGCACCCCTGACCCCAGCACACCACCCAGAGAAACAGGAATTGCTTGAGCAAAAGCTTTGAGTTCTTACTGCCCTGTTTGCCTTACAGCAGCTCTTCGAGGTAGGGAGGCAGACTGGGGCGGAGCCACCTCTTCTACTCTCCTCCCTGGTCCTCTTCCACCTCCAGGTGCCCTGAGCTCAGGGTACCAAAGAACTAGAAGAACTAGGTGTGCGGGCACACCTGTGACCCCAGCACTGGGGAGGTGAGGGAGGGGGATCTGGAGTCCAAGCCTGGGCGACATAGCAAGACCCTGTCTGAAAAACAAAACACCCGGGGATATAGTTCAGTGGCACGAGCTCCCACCTGGCAAGTGCAAGGTCCTGAGTTCAATTCCCAGTAGAAAAAAACCCCAAAGGACTAGAAGAATCAGTGGCAAGGTGAAGGTACCTCCATTCGTGAAAACGTTTATAGGCTTGTGTGATAGACTTTTTATATATATATTTTAAAAAAGCCTTTTGAAAAGTACAAAGCTGTGAACCATGCCCTTGTCATAAAGGAAATGTGCAGGAGCTCTGTGCAGACTGAATAGGCAACATTCACCTCCAGGCCCGGCCCTGAAACAGCGTGGCTGGACTCCTAGGGGACTTTCCCTAGGCCCAATCAGGTATCTGTGTGTGATCCACAGTCTAGATGAGGACACCGAGGCTGGAGGTGGGTCTGGCCAGACGGGTGGGCCACGCCTGGGCAGTGCTGCCTCGTCCGTGTCCAGTGACAGAGTCCCAGCCAACACTGGCCCTGGTCAGCACTGCTCTGAGGCATGATGGGTTGGTGGCTGCAGAGCTCATCCGAAACCCAGGTGTCATTCGGGAGCTTTGGTCCCAGGTGTGGAATGTGGTGTGCATCTGCAGGGGCGAACCTTCCTGCTAGCAGGGTTAGAAACTTAGTAGACTAAGGTCAGTCTGGTCCACCTGGCCCTGAGTTTTGGTGGATGAGTAGCAAGTTTGGGTAATGATGCATTACTCGATACAGCCAAGCATGGATCATGAAGGTGCCCTGAACCTGATGCAGTGCCTTAGAAGTGACAGTTGCCAGCAAGCCAGCTCTCTGATGGCCAGAAGGTTATCACCTTGCCATTTCTATCCATTTAAGTTTGGGAAAATAGCGTATGTGAAAGGGTAGACTGTTACGTGCTAAACATTTATGAAAACGTTTCACAAATATTGGAAAACAATTCCAGGTTGGGAAAAAATTCCAAGGTCTTTGGCAAAGCAGTATTAATTGTAAACCACTGTCACAGGTTCTAGCGATGGGTGAGAGGGAGCTGTGCACAGCCCTCGTCTGTTGCCTCTCACCTTTTGTGGGTGGCTGTGCTGCCTGTGTTCCCAATAAGGAAAAGGTTTGGTGGGGGGGGGAGGCGGTTTGTGTCGGCTTGAACCCTGGGGCTGATAAGGGGCCAGGCCTGGCAGCAGCCCAGGTGAATGCTGTCTGTATATGTGTTGCATGCTGGCTTCCAGCATCCCTAGGACCTTCCAGTCCATCTCTTGCTATAAGCACCCCTCCTCATGTTTCTTAAAACCCTCAGACTGTTTCCTCTGTCTTTGCAGATACACTGTTCCAGTTGAAGGTATGTGCCCAAGGACTGTTCACCCCAGCCCTAACCTGCCAGTTAACAAATGAAAACAAGCAGGACAAGTCCCCAGAAATATGCAGATCCTCAGAAACAAAGTGGGGGACAGATTGTAAAATTTGAGCAATGGCCACACAGGGCTCAGATTGCTGACCTAGCCAGATGGGATCATGAAGTGGCTGAATGACGCGTTGGCTCTTGTGCGCCCCTGAGTAGAAGTGGATGGCTCAAGTTGCTCTGTAAAAGAGCATTATCTTCAAGAAGCATAGTTTGAGTCTATGCACGTTTGTGGACGGTCTGCAAAGGATGTAAAACTCCCTCAAATCTGTTACAGATCATTTCCTTTGGTGGTGGTACTGGGGATTGAACCCAGAGCTTTCACCCTGAACTACATCCCATTTTTTAAATTTTGAGACAATCTCGCTAACTTGCCCAGGCTTGGCTTCCACTTATGATCCTCCCATTGAGCTGAGATTACAGGCTGCACAAACATCGGAGGTTACACATTGGAAGTATACCATTGGAGTGGTGCTGATAGCTTGCTGGCAGCTCAGTGCCTGTCCTGCCGTGTTCCCTTAGATCTTCCACAGTTACTCATCCAGGATCAGCTTCTTCTTCATCACTGGTTCTGAGTAGGAGGGAGGTTTGCAAGCCATAGGATGTAGCTGTGGAATATTCTTAAGAGTACCCCTGTGGGCAGATGTCCTCACTAGAGTGGTGGGTGTGGGAGACCCCATGTTGGGGCCTGCAGGGTTACGAACCTGTGACGTGCTAGCAGCCAGGGCCTGTCTGGCTTTAGACTGGGGTGGCCAGACATGCTCTGGGGACTCTGATGTCAATTCCTATTGGGGTTAATACAGAAGTTAGGCCTCGGGGAGGTGGTGTGCAGTCTTCTATGAAGAGACTGCTTCAAGGAGTATTTTTATCTGAGCTCTGTGCTGTTGTTTGCGGGTGACCATGGAGCAGGTTCTCGCCATTCTTTTCCAAGTTGAAAGCCCTTCTGTGAGCAGCGTTGGGGTCAGAGTGGCTCACTGTCACCTGGCTGTGGGGGACAATGAGATCACGGTGTTCATGGAGAGGACAGGATTTTACAAGGCCTGACGTGACCCTGTTCTCACAGAGAGAGAGTATTTCCTTGCTTACGTGGTGGCTGTCTCATAGCCCCGGGGTGGCTGCCAGGACACACACGGGTAGGGCCTGGAGTAGATGTCTGTCACGGGTCCTGTGTGTGGGTGACACACGACCTCTTCCAGTTCACAGCGAAGCAGCTGGAGAAGCTCGCCAAGAAAGCGGACAAGGACTCCAAAGCTGAGCAGGCCAAAGTGAAGAAGGTGCGTGGCCCCCTGGGCCCAGGGGCGATGTTTTCACCTCATTCTTGTTTGCTGTTTTGTTTTGGCACCTGTTCTTTTCTGTGAGCCGAGCAGGCACACAGGAACAAGGTGGCTTCATCTGCAGCCTGTTCTCTCTGTCCTCACGCATCCTTTCCGCGCCTTCCAAGCTTGCTTTGCCCTGAGTTGTTGGGAATGGGCTTCCTGCTCTCTCTTGTGGGACTGGTCCCAGGGCATCAGGGTCTGGCAGAAGTGCAGGCTGCCCTCCAGGGGGTTGGGACGAGAGACTTGTGGGGCCTCAGCTGGGAGAGGCAGGAGAAGGAAAGAGGGGTGGCTGCTTTCGGGGGCTGTAAGCCAAGTCTGTGCAGTTCTTAAAATGGCACCTTGTTGGTGAAGGAGCCCTGCAGTTTATGTTTGGGAACTCCACTCAAACTCAGAGCTCCCAGGCTGAAAGGGTACAGGCAGCTGCCTGCAGCCTGAGTCATGGTGCTCTGTATCTTCCTCCCTGCGGCCGGGTCTGCAGACCCTGAGTGCCATGCATGCTTCCCTGTGCTCTTGGGCTGAGCTCTTCGGGGGCCTTGAGCCCTTGCAGGCTGCCCACTGCCACCCTCTGTCCTCAGATGCTGCTCCTGTGCAGGCCTGGGTCTCAGGTGTTCCTGATGTGCACCCTGGGGAGGGCTGCAGGAGCCCCCACAACAGCAAGCTGTGCCCTCAGAGGCTAGCACAAGGCTTTCTACAGGGGAATGATGGCCAAGGTACCCATGAGTGCCCCTCTGGCTCTTAGGCGCTCCAGCAGAAGAACGTGGAGTGTGCCCGGGTGTATGCGGAGAACGCTATCCGCAAGAAGAATGAAGGCGTGAATTGGCTGCGCATGGCGTCCCGCGTAGACGCAGTAGCCTCCAAAGTACAGACAGCTGTGACCATGAAGGGGGTGAGTGCAAGGGTTCTGGTGACTGGAAGGGGCAGTCTTAGGGCAGAGAGAAGCCGGGTCTGCGGGAGCCAGGCTGGCGTGGACACAGGCAGGCTCAGGAAGGGTTTCCCATGTGCCACAGAGGTCACATCTGACACATTGGCTCCATAGCAGGATCCCCTTGGAAGCCCCACTGTGCTGTCACCAGCCCCCAAGTGGCCATGTCCTGGGTCAGTGTGCATGGGCATTGAGCCTGTAGCATTTCCTGAGTCAGGACCTGGGCCCGTGGATGACCCTGTTCCCTTCTCCCACCCTCTCTGGCCCAGGTGACCAAGAACATGGCCCAGGTGACCAAAGCACTGGACAAGGCCCTGAGCTCCATGGACCTGCAGAAGGTGTCTGCAGTGATGGACAGGTTCGAGCAGCAAGTGCAGAACCTGGATGTGCACACGTCGGTATGTGGTCACGTGGCCTGCGGTGGAGCGTGTCCGGAGGGGTAGCTCACTGAGAGCCCTCTGAGAAAATCTCTGGTGGGCTTGGAGAGGGGTGGGCACTCTGTCCCTGCTGGGGAGGCCCAGGTGATCACAAGCACAAAATGATGTAGAAAGTGCCCCCGAGAGGCAGGCACAGCATGGCAGGGTGGGGTGGGTGGCAGGCCACTCCCTATGGGGGACGGGGACAGAGAAAGCATTCTGGGCAGAGCAGCCACACAGCTGGGGTGGGGTGGGGCCCTGCAAGTCTGGGGTGCCAATGGCCCAGCCCCCACTGCCTCAACATCCCCTCAGGTGATGGAGGACTCCATGAGCTCAGCCACCACGCTGACCACACCCCAGGAGCAGGTGGACAGCCTCATCGTGCAGATTGCCGAGGAGAATGGGCTCGAGGTGCTGGACCAGCTCAGCCAGCTGCCCGAGGGTGCCTCAGCTGTGGGCGAGAGCTCCGTGCGCAGCCAGGAGGACCAGCTGTCGCGGAGGTGGGGCCGTGTCCAGTGTGGGGTGGGGGCTTGGAGTGGCCACGCGGCTGTCCGCTCAGGGCTCCCTTGGGGGTGTTCTTGGCTGTGCCCATTGGCCGGTCTTTCATTAGTGCCGTCGCAGGACAACCTTGAGCTGTGGGGACCGGGGGGGGGGGGGGGGGGCGCGTACGGGACAGTGGTGCTGAGTGGGGCTGCAGCTCGCATCTGATGGTGCAGTGTTCCTGACCCCTGCCCTGCCTGTCTCAGAGTCTTGTGTTGACTTCCAGGTTGGCTGCCTTGCGGAACTAGATCCCCACCATGCTGTGGCGCCCTGCACTGTGACGTCTCAGAGGCACTGTCCCCACCCCGTTCTCCTCGCCCTCCAGAGCTGCAGCCACCACTTCCCTGCTCTTCTCACCACCAGGCTTGGCAGCCTCAGGTGGATTCCGTTTTTCCTGGGTTGGACGCTGGGATTGTGTCCTGGAGTCGAGGTGGCACAGTCGTGTGTGGGTGATGTCTGTGACCCTGGCCAGCAGCAGGGAGGTCATTTGGCTCGCCGCATCCCCTGCTGTGGCTGCTTTGCGGCTGGAGGGGTTGTAGCTGCCCTGCTCTCAGGCCCTCCCCAGCTCCCCACTGCCCTGCAGGAGAGGGGTGGATCTGTGTATGTGAGGTGCATCACCTGCCACCAACACCACCCTGGGGCCTTTGTGGGAGGGGCCCCAGCACCTCCACCACCGATCCAGGCTGGGCCAGCCACGGCCTGCCCTTGCTCCTCAGCTCCCCAACGTGCCCAGTCCACAGGGACAGAGCCATTGCCTGGGCCCTTGTCCTTTCGTGGCCCCTCTGGAGGTGCCTTGGGCCACTAGGCTGAGCTCTGTGTTGCCTACGTCACTGACTGGAATCTGGGCTCCTGTGGCAGCCCCACCTCTTCTCCTGTGCCTCTCCGTGATGCTACCGTGTGTCTCTCCTGCCACTGTAAATGACAGGTGACGTGGGCTGCCACCTGCCCACTCCTGAGCTTGGAAGCCAGTCCCCTGCAGTATGGCCCCGGGCTCTGTGGGGACAGCCTGCCATGTGAGAGGCAGCCAGGTGGACTGAGAGGGCTTTGGGCACAGCCTGCTGGTTTAGTTTCTTTTTTTCTGTTTCTGGAAGTTTACTTTGTTTTTTGCCAAAGTGGAAAGCAGATAGCCTGCAGGCATGGGGTCCACGAGCAACCCTAGTGCATGGGCTCTTCCCGATGTGCTGTGCCTGGTTCTTTCTGTCTGGACCTGCAAGCCGGGGTGGTGGGGGAGGGGGAACTGCTGGGTCCCGGGTGTTGGGGTTCACACACTGCCTGGCTGTGGCCCTTCCAGGCTCCCCATGTGTTGTGTGGGGTGCTGGCCAGGTAGGGGTGCAGGGGTGTCATTGAGGGGAGCGTGGTCGCCCTCACCCTGAAGTACTGTTGGAAATAAATGAGTTGCTCGTTGAAAATGCTCAAGCCTTGCTTTGGTGGCTTTGGGTGGGCAGGGGAGCCACAGATGATCCCCAAGTGCTTCCTCCCACACCCCAGACAAGGGATTGGGGCCAGCTGGAGGGCTGGAGGCAGGCCAGGCTGCAGTGCAGTCACAGGGTTGATTGCTTCTTAAAGGAGCTTCAACCTTGCTCACGTGTCCAGCAAACGTGTGTGCCTCAGCTCGGCAGTGGGCATGCAGTCTCAGCACAGTCGCTGGCCCACCTCCCTGCACTCTCACCGCCCACCCGGGCCCCTCCTGGCCCCCACCGCGGGCCCTCAACAACCCACAGGGGACTCATCTGCCAAACACGCACAGCTGTGTGCCTCTACCTGACAGAGCCACGAGTTCATGCTATGCTGTAATACACAGCATTGAAATCTTTCTGTGTAAAACCCCTTCCCAGTGAGCAAAACGAGGTGTCCCGCCTCAGCCCACCAGGAGCCTGTATGTGAGTTTTTCTGATGCAGCCCCCAAGCCTCACTAGCCACTCCAGACAAAAGTTCTGGGTGGATATTGCCCGTCTCAAGGGTCAGTGATGCTCCTGCCAGACCCGTGAGTCCACTCATGGAGCTTCCCCTGGGCCAGGCCCATTGTGAGAAGGTGGAGAAAGCCTGATCTTGGGCCGGTGCCATGCCCCTGTGGGGACCACACTGCCTCCACTCCCTGTGGTGGGTGGCCTGGGCGATGGAGGGGCTCCAAATTATCCCATGACCCAGCCCCCACCCCTGGGCTGGGTCGCCGTATCCAGTCTCAGACCAGAAAGAGATGGCGTGGCTGGGTGTCTCCATCACCGTCACGTGTCCGTAGGCCCAGTAGGGCACCGCTGGCAGAGCAGGCCCCGCCCACATATTCAGGTGGCATGAGCTCAGCAGCTCCTACCTAGACATGCAGTGGCAATGGACCAAGGCCCATGAGCTGCATCGAGAAACCTTCAGCTCCATGGAAGGCACTGCGCCTGTGCCCTGTGAGACACCAGTGGGTGGCAAGGTGGTACCATCTGTCCCTGGCATCTGGGGGACCTGCCCATTGTGTGAGGAGCCTGGGGGCTGGAACCTCATGCTCCCACACACCACACGAAGCTGATGGGGTTGGCGCCGGAGCCCTGGCCTCCCAGAGATGCAGACCCAAGGGCAGGGTGGGGTGTGCGCTGCATGAGTGTACATGAGGCTGCATGAGCATGTGTGAGCCATGTACAGGCACCCGTGTGGTGTGTACACAAATGTGCCATGTGGGCTGTGCACGGGTGTGCCATGTGCATGGGTGAACTGTGTACACAGTGCATGTGGGTACAGCCACCGGAGCTCAGCCTGTGCAGTGCCCTCTCCTGAGGTCCTGGGTGTGCCCTGTCCTTACCCTCCAGGACTCTGTCCCCAGGCCCAGTGGCCCCTGGAATCCCTCTCCCTAAGTCTGCCCTCCAAGGCCAGGGTGCTCATGACACAGATCAGGAGTAAGGGGGCCAAGGCTTTATTGGGCTCCATGTGCAGGCGCCAGGCTGCCCACTGGGGAGCTGCCCCTGTGCAGGGGTACAGTTCCCAGGGCCCAGCTCCTCGCCTGAGGAGCCCCCTCCTCTGCACTCCTGGAGTCCTGGTGGCTGCTGGCATCTGGGCATCACAGAAGATGTGGGCTGAGGAGCAGGGGAGCCAGGGAGGCCAGGAGGGCACCTGGCCTGAGGGAGAGGCTGGGGGCCGCCGAGTAGCCGTACTGTGTCCTGCAGGAATCACCCAGCTTGTCAAGGGCAATGGGTTTTTCCTCGGGTTTGTGTGAGGTTTGAGTGCGGTTGCTCACCTAGGCGCAGGTAGACAGGGTGAGGTGGTGCCCAGCAGGCGGGGGGGGGGGTGCGGGTGTCTGTGGTGCAGATGGCCCCTCCTTACCTCCTCCACCGCCGCGAAGACCCTCAGCAGATTTTCTGCCAGCATGCCCTTGATCTCCGCCTCTGTCCAGTTCCTCTGGAGCAGCTCAGCCACCAGGTCTGGGTACTTGGAGACATCCTCCAGCCCCACGGGCAGCCTGGCAGGATGAGGCAGGGCCCTGCAGACTGCACTGTCTCAGAGCAGAGCCCAGGTCCCTGGGTGTGCTTCCCTCCCTAGCTCGGGACACTGGCCACACCCTTACCTGGTCACACCATCGTAGTCTCCACCGAGGCCCACAGCTTCGGCGCCAGCCACCGCCTTGATGTAGTCCAGATGGTCTGGGGAAGCACAGTGTGTGAGGTTCCTGGCCAGGCCCGCCCCCCGCCCCCTGGGTGCCCCCACCTACCAGCCACCTGAGTCAGTGTGGCCTGCGCCGAGCAGGACACATAGTCAGTGTAAAAGTTCACCATCACCAGGCTGCCTGTGGCTTTCTGCTCAGGAGAGAGGGGCATTGAGTGATGGCCAGGATCCCTGGGGGCAACACCTCACGGCAGCCTCCGCCAGGCCTCACCACCAGTTGGAGCACATCATCGGGCACGTTCCGCTTGTGGGCACACAGCTGGTAGGCAGACGAGTGGCTGAAGATGACGGGTGCTGAGGACAGCTGCAGGGCAGCCTTCATGGTGGCCACCGACACGTGGGCCAGGTCGATCATGATGCCCAGGCGGTTCATCTCCCTCACCACGCTCTGCGGGCGGGGCAGGGCTGGGTCAAGGCACAGGGGGACTGGGCCAGTGCAGGTGAACTACGGGGTCCGCTTGGGTTCAGAATCCGACACCAGCAGGTCCATGAGCACTGCCCTGGGTGGGCACAGCAGCTCCACTTCACTCAAAAGGAAGCCGAGCTCTGAGAGGTGAGAACCAGTCCCTGCCCTCTTCCTCCCGGGATCCCATCCCCTCACCTCCCCAAACTCCGACAGCCCCTGGCTCTCAGGCTCATCCTCCCCAGTGTCCACCAGCCAGTTGTCAGCCCTGCAGAACAGAGCGGGCGTTGAACATGGAGGAGGGGTCTCTGGGGGTGGAGAGGAAGGTACCTAGGGGCAGGTGTGCTGGCATGGGATCCAGCCCTTACCAGGGCGTGTTGCAACTGTGGGTGAGGGTCAGGTAGCGCATCCCCAGATGGTACAGCGCCCGCAAGACGCCCAGGCTGCTGTCGATGGAGTGGCCGCCCTCCACACCCACCAGGCTGGCCACCTTACCCTCCTGGAAGGCCTGCCGGATGTCTGCAGGGGAGGAGGGCATGGTGTCCGGGGGCAGGACCCCCAACACGCCACACCGTCACCCCTGCCCAGGCCAGCCAGGCCCCACCTTGGCTGCTGGTGACACACTTGAAGGTCTCAGGGTACTCCTGACACATGCGCTGGATGACGTCGATCTGCTCCAGCGTCCTCTTCACGGCGTCTTTGTTCTGGGTGTCACAAGGCACGTACGCAGACCAGAACTGGGGGCAGGGGTGCAGCAGGAGCTGAAGGCCGAGCCCCAGCATGACCCCATGTCCCAAGCAGAGCCCCGCTCCCAGGTTGCGGGGGACAAGTGGCACCCAGCAGGGGACACAGCTACCTGAGCACCTACGAAGCCGGCCCTCAGCTTCGGGATGTTGGTGTGTGTGCTGGCCAGGGTGCTCAGGTTACTCCCCTGGTGGTACAGCTGGTTGTTGAACTTGGTCAGCAGCTGCCAGGGCAGGTCGTTGTGCCTGGAGACACAGGTACCCAGTGGGGGGTGCAGGCTGCCCTGTCCACCAAACACACCTGCACGTGCTGAGCAGCCCACTGTGGCCCACCCCTGACTAGTAACCCAAGCCGGGGTAGCCAGGACTTCTTCCTGGGGGGCCACCTGCTTCCCTCATAGTTTCCCAGAGGTGGAGGAAGCCAGCCAGACTATCTGGATGAAGCCAGTGTTCACAGATTGTAGTGGCCCTGCAGGGGTCCCCCTTAGGGCACAGGGCACTGGGCACTGGACACAGCACCTTGGGACCCCGGAGGGAAGAGCCCTGCACCCAGTTTCCTGAGAATCGGCTACTCCATGAGAGCCACCTCCAGCTGACCAGCAGGCCCCAGACCTCGGGGGCAAAGGCCAGGTGTCCCCATGAACTCCTTGGAAATGCAGGCTCAGGCTGGCAGTGCCCACACCTGGAGGCTGAGGACACACTGAGCCCCAGGCAGCACGCTGTCAGCACCGTCTAGTGGCTGGGAGGCCCTGTGGCTGGGCTCAGCGGCCCCACCCATGCCTGCTGTCAGATTTCACTCCAGTCCCCTCTGCCCTGTGCCTTAGTTTCCCCTCTGTGGCACAGGGAGACCTTGGCAGCTTTGCAGGGGGTGAACGGGGTAAAGAGTGGCACCAGTGTGTTGTGCGGGTCCGAGCTGAGGTGCACATTCCCAAACAGTTTCCTCCATGGCCAGCACCGAGGCCCACGTACACACTGAGCAGTACGACCGTGCCAGGCACCGCAGCGGCACCGAGGCCTCACCCTCCAGATGTCAGGGTGTGAGTACATTACGACTCCCTTGGGCCGTGTCCACCCATGTCCAAGGTCCACTCCAGGGACTGAGGCAGGCTGACCTCATGGCTCCTCTAGGAAATGTCCCCACCTGGGTGGCACAATCCCTGCCCATCCTCCGCCAAGGGGCACAAGCTTTGGCCCCAGCTCGACTGGGGCTCTGGGGGTCTCTCTGGTCACCACGGCACCTGCCATAGGGGTCGCTGCCCGGGAACTGTGGGATTTACATGACGTGAGGGGCAGGCTCTGCCTGTCCGCTGTGCCTGGAACAGACTGATCAGGAAGCATGCGTGGGTGAATGAGTGAATGAATGTATGGGCAGACGGGAGTCTGGGTGAAGGATGGGTGCAGAGGTGCATGAAAGCATGGGTGTGCTTCACCCGAGGGCCCCTCCTTGCTCTCCAGGGCGGGGCGGGGCAGGGCCTTGGGAAGAGACTTCAGTCCTCTGCCTGAGGACACAGGTGTCCTGCGCTGGTGACGGATGGGGTGCTGGGGGCGGGGAGAAGCTGCACTCTGTTCTCTGCCCCTCCCTGGTGGGGGACTAAATGCCAGGGTGAGACCTGACTTCTGCCCAGGCAGGGGCACTCCGAGCTCCTTTCCCCTCCTCTGTGTGGCCCTGCGTAGTGAGCTCAGCAGGGTGGAAGAGGCCAGCCACCCGTAGGGCACTGCTGGTGGCCACTGTTATCTATTCTCTTTCCTGGTAACAAGCCCCGCATTTTTACAGGACACCTGGTCACTTGGAATGAAGAAACTTCTTGGCCCCCCTGTAGCTGGATGTGGCCTTGTGACTCTGTCCTGCGGGTCCAGAAACACTCCTTGACAGGTGGCGTTTGCACACCCCTTGTCCTGCTTGCTGGCTGGTGTGGTAATGTGATGGCTGGAGCTGGTGCAGCTGTGGTAAACCACGAGGAACATGAGAGGGCTTCTGTTTGTCGAGATATAAACTGCTTGTTTGTATCTCTTACCTGAGATCAAACTGATGGGCCTGCAAGCTCACCTAGCTTTCTGTCTCTGGGCAATCCCAGCGCCCCACACCCCAGGTCCCGACCCCTTCCTGTCTCTTTTTCGGGCCCTCTCTCACCTCATCTGACTCTGCACGACCCTGTGCCTGGACTCGGGTCTCTCTCTCTCTGTGCCCAGCTGTCCTAACCCCGGAGAGGAAGAGCCACTCCCGGTCTCCCTGCCCCACAACTGAACTCTTCCCTTGGTCCTCACTGGCCTGTGGTGTGCAGCCTGAGGCCAGACCCCCCTCTGCAAACAGAGAGGCTCTGGGGAGGCCAGGGAGTGGCCACTGAGAAGACCCGACCCTCACAGCCAGCAGGAGGTGGAAAAGCCTGGCAGGGGCACTGGAGGAGCCTGGGAGCAGAGCCGCAGGCCCAGACAAGTGGCAGATGGCCACGCCCTGCACTCCTCACAGGGCCTTTTCTCCAAACTATGGAGTGGCACCTCTAAGTAGCAACTGTGTGCCCAGCACACGGGTGCCCTCGGCTCCCCTGCCCGCCCAGAGCCTGACGTGTGCAGAGTCCTGGCTTCCAGCAGCTAAGATGGGGTAGGAGGGGCTACGAGCGGGGAGGCCAGGTGTGAGTGCTCCCGCTGCAAGCAGGGAGAGAGGGCGCATGGCTATATGGCATTCAGAGGGGTCCTAAGGGGGGCAGGTGACAGCTGGGGGACAGATTGTGGGGCTGGGAGAAGCAGCTAAGTGTGGGGCAGTCGGAGGAGGCGGGAGTCAGGCAGGCACAGCGGCCGGGGGCATCGTGGACCCCAAGACAGAGAGGAGCAGAGCCAGAGGGACACCCACTAGGGCATGGGGAAGCCGCCCCTGCCTGTGGTGGGGAAGCCGCCCTTGCCTCCTCAGAGGAGGAAGTTTGGGCTTGAGGCTCTGAGAGGTGGGCACTGGGGCACTGGGTCCCTTCCCCAAACTGGAGCCTGGCCATGCCACCCCCCGCCCCTCTCCACAGACATCCCACTGAGGAAACCTTCAGCCCCTCCCGACACCAGAGACCTGAGACCAGCGAGGGGCCAGGGCTGCCTCCCGGGCAGAGAGACCTCCGCCCACACCACTCACCCATCAATGACAGGCGTCTGCTGCATGATTCTCTCTGCCTGCTCACGCCACGTTTCCCCAGCACACATGGCCACCAGGGCCCAGAGCCACCAGCTGGTCCACATGATGAGGTCGGGTCTGCTTAACTCCCGGCCCTGGGGCACAGGATGCGGGGCGTGAGGAACTGCTCTGCTGAGGGAGGAAGGAGGCCTTTGGTCCAGGCGGTGGCCCCTGTATCACTGTTTACAGCCCTCATGTTAACGAGTAACTAGTCTACGGCCATACCACCCTGAACGCACCTGATCTCGTCTGATCTTGGAAGCTGAGCAGGGTCGGGCCTGGGTAGTACTTTGATGGGAGAACGAGTAACCAGTGCATTCTCTCCCAGACCGGGCAGGGTAGACGGCTGCCACTGGAGGGCTGGGTGTCCCTGGCAGGCAGGGGCATGGCTGGGCAAGGGCCTGGGGGAGGATGGTGGGGCCTTGGGGAGCGAACAGCACGGGGCGGGCGTGATGGGTGTCAGCCCGTCTGGGATGTGTCCTGGCCTGGCTTGCTGGCCTCTGCCCAGGATGCTACTGGACCCCTGCAGGCACTGAGGTGGTTGGGGCTGGGGTGCCCTGGTGCTCTGGGAAGGAATCACAGCCTGTGCAGCCACCAGGAGCTGTGTTTCCTGGGTGGGCACCTGGGCCTCTGGGTCTGTTTCCCTGTGGCTCTGGTCCTTGCTGTCCTTCCTGCCAGGCCCAGGTGGGCTGGTGCCGTGTCTTCCTCCGCTCCCTGCACCCGCACTGGGACCTGTGCTGAAGGTACCATGGGACTGCCTGGGACCACCTGTGCCGAGCGTCCTGGGCACTGGTGTCCTCGAACACCCTCCTCCCCTGGCACAGTGTCGACCTCGTGGGCCACCCTGCCTTGCTCTCCTGGCACCCCCCACGTCTCCCAGGCTCAGGCCCAGGCTTTGACATTTGGAGGCGTGATCTCCTTCATCTACATGAGCCTGGGGTCTCCTTTCCTGTTTATTTCTGCTCTCTGTTCTTGAGCTTTTGGTCTCTGAGCTCTTAAGCTTTTTAAAGGGTACACAGTTGCCAGCCTGGTCAGACAGCTTCTTCTGGGAATTGGGATAATTCAAGCCAGGACCTGGTTAGGCAGCTTAACTAGGTCGGGTCTGCCTGTTGGTTGGTTTTGCTACATTCTTCAAGTTATTCTTTCCCCAGCTCCCACAGCTGGAATGTTCTTTTTGTATCACCACTGTGCATTTCCCTCCTATTTTGTCAGTCATATTTAACCCCATATTTTCCTCTCAGTATTCAGAATCCTTAACTTCTGCTAGGAGAGATGCTGCATGCCTATAACCCCAGCTACTCAGGAGGCTGAGACAGGAGGGTGGCAAGCTCAGGCAAGTTCAAGGCTGGCCTGGGCAATCTAGTGAGGCCCTGTCTCAAAAAAATCTTTAATTCTGTACAGGTGTGGTGGCACACACCTGTAATCCCAGCACTCGGGAGGCTGAAGCAGGAGGATCTTTGTGTGTTTGAGACCAGCCTGGGCTATATAGTGAGCTCAAGGCCAGCCTGAACTGCATAGCGAGACCTTGTCTCAAAAAGAGAAAAAAAAAAAAAAAAAAGATACTCCAGGAGAAAATGAAGTGCACATGTGTCTGCAGTCCCTTCCTGGGCAATGGCCCCAGGGATGCTACATCTGGTTGGTGTGAGGACCTGTGGGCTGTCTGGGAGTTCCTCATCCTCCCAGGATGGGCCAAGCTGTGTCTTAGACTTTGAGTTCCTTCAATGTTCAAATCCAGTTGTGTTTGAGTTGTCTGATTTTCTAAAGGTTCTGTGATCATTCTTTTGCAGTAGTTTATTAGCTCAATTTAATTTTTTTTTGGGATACCAGGAATCAAACTCAGGACCTTGCGCTTGCCGGGCAGGCCACTGAGCTATATCCCCAGCCCCAGTAGTTTATTAGTTCAAAAGCCCACAGCCCCCGAGGCCCCACCCCAGGGCTTATGCTCCCTCACCCTCCACCCTCGGCACCACGCACACAGGGCCTCTGGCACCAAGGCCTCACACAGGCAAGCATCTAGGACAGAGCTACACCCCAACCCCGTAATGCGATATTTCTAAAACTCTAAATTCAAGCAAAAAATCCATGCTGAACAAAATATAAAACCCGTAAATAAAGACAAGGCTGCTACTTGACTCTCTCTTTTCCTCCACCCTGACTCTCTCTTTTCTTCTAACCCTTATACAGTGCGATGGGTGGGTGGTGTTCTTGGGGCTCAGCTGTCTCGGGCTGACAACAGGGGAACTGTCCAGGTGGGCCTAGGGTGATGTGAACACACTGCCCCAACCTGCACCTGCAAAGGGTTTTGGACGGCAGCGAGGAGACCTGTAGGGGTGAGGACTGCTGTGCTCTGGCCCAGGCCAGGTACCTGGGAGCTTGGCCTGCATCTTTCCTGAGGCTCAGAACTACTGGCTTGGCTTGGCTCGAGTGCAGTCCTGCACAGTGAGGCCACGTGGGCCCTGGGATTTCAGGTCCACTGCTGGGCTCCTGCTTTGTGTTGGCCAGTGGCCCCATTTCTCAGGCTCAATTACCTGTTTGTACGCTAGAGACCACCACGGTGCCTACCTCTCCAGAGATGTAGGACTGGAACTGTCCTCGGGGCAGTGCCTGAAGGCTGAGGCTGTTTTCCTTGACCGAGAGGGCTCCTTCCCCAGGGTCCTGCTTCATCCTGGAATTCCTGATGCCAACCCCACCACACAGACACAGACACACACACACCCCGGCACAGGCCACGTCCTCAAACCTGCTTGTCTTCACTCTGTAGCCGTTCCTGCTGCAACCCTCTCCGCATCCTCCTGGCTAAGTACACTTTGCACTTCCGCCCCTTCCAGTGCTGCAGTCATGTTTTGCTGGAGCAGGTCCTCGAAGCACTTGATCCCTCAGTGTCTGTGTGAGAAACCTCTGTGCTTGCACCGGTCACCAGTTCTGCTGATATGCAGTTTTGAGTTGAAAGCCGTGCAGCCCATGCCCGGGCTCCAAAGTCTGTCTCATGGGCACTGTTGGTGGGAACACCACCCAGTGTGCTTCCTCCTTCCCTGGCTCAGGTCACCTCTTCATCCTTGCAGTTCTGCGGCTGCCAAGCATGGGATGGCGGGAGACTTTTCCACTCCCAGCTCAGCGCACAGGCTCCGGCTGTGGTCAGGGACACATCTGCACATCTGTCTCCACTTGCTCTTGCCCTGATCCTGCCTGGCCTCCGCTGCACTTTTGTCGGCTGTGCCGGACTTTCTTGTGCTTTTACGCAGTGCACAGCAAGATGCGCCCCACACTGTCTTCAGCACTTTTATTTCACGTTTCGCCCTGGGATTCTGGGGCTGGGCTCCCGGGAGTGTCTTTTCCTGCTGTCTCTCCCGCCACAGCCTGATCTGGTCATGGTAGCCACATCCGAGCGATGGCGGGCAGAGCCACTGTCTTTTGTGCTCTTTGGTCTACTGAGTAGGCTCAGCCTCCTTTGCCTGTCTGTCTGAACCTCTTGCTAATTCACAGCTTTCCCTGCCAGCTGCACGCCTGTCCCTTACACTGAGACCCCCTCAGTGGGCTGTGCTCTGCAAAGACACTTCAAGGGGCTCCGGGGAGTCCAGCAGCCCTCCTGGTCCTGAAGACCCTGGGGGCCCAGGGACCCAGATATTGCTCCCCTAGCTGGGGCCTACTAGAGTCCTGTGTCAGCCAACCACAACGCAGCCCTCGGTCCCACAATGCCCGCCTCGCCTGTGTCTGAGCTGAGTGCTGTGTCTTGCAGGGGTGAGGGAGACTCCTACATGGCCCCCTGAAAACCTCAGGGCTCCCTCCCCCGTCAGGGGCTCCTCCATTAATGCACCGAAATCTCAGCCTGCTGATAACCCTTCACTCTGAACTGTGGGTTCTCTTTTTATGGTGTGTGCGTGTGTGTGTGTGTGTGTGTGTGTGTGTGTGTGTGTGTGTGGTGTTACTGGGGACTGAACCCAGGGCCTCTGCACTTAGCTACAACCCCAACCTTTTGCTTAAATCTTGAGACAGGGTCTTAAATTGGTAAGTTGAACTTCCAGTCATCCTGCCTCAGCCTGAGTATTGGAATTGCAGGTGTGCGCCATTACCCCCGGCAGGGTTCTGTTTTAATCCTGTTTCTTCTGTTGCTTCTGGGTGCCACACACAGTACAGCCTTGGCATCATCATGCCCTTGAGGGACACGGGTCTCCCTTCCTTCTCACCGTGGGGACCCTGGAGAGAGCCCGGGCCCAGTGTCCTTCGGCTTGGCCTCTCAGTCAGGAGAGTGAAGGAGAGGTGCAAACGGGCGTGAAGGATACATGCTGGAAGCCAGACAGCCTGGGCGTGGCTTCTGGTGGGCAGGTGGTCTTTTCTGCTGACAGCTGCCCTGAGGCCACCACCTGCACACCTCACTGCCCTGCGGCCCTGACACTGCTCCAGCCAGAGCTGGGGAACTGCTGGACACACGGCGGAGGCAGCCCTGGCCATTTGGTGTGGCTGTCACAGGCCTGGGACACCAGACGCAGCCTCCGGTGACACTAGTACACCTCAGAGTCCCGTGGAGGCCCGGAGGCTACAGGACTGCTAAGCTTCCGGTTCGAGTTCTCCACAAAGAGCTCCTGCCCCGCCCGGCTCAGCGACTCCTGCTCTCTTCTCTGTACAGCAGGGTACACAGCCCCAGCCTCCTGGGTGCACACGTGTCCCCGCTGCTGGAGATGCCTCTGTCATCTCTGTGACAGCATCCCTTCCAGAGCATGGTGGGGTCCTCGGCCCGGGGCGGGGGGTGATTGCAAGAGGGGTCCCAGGGACCCAACACACCTCCCACAGGGCAAGGCCACGGCCACGCCAGTCTCAGGGTGTCCTTCTCTACTGCTTCTGTGTTGCCTCCGAGGAGAGGCCCTGCCTGCCCCACGCCTGCCGTAAACAAGAGGAACACTGCAGCCAGCAAACCTCAGCCGTGCTGAGTCCCGGCCAGCAGACATGTGCGGGTACCCGAGCCACTTTCCACTCCATCCTGGCCCCCATGGGCCCAGGGGCCCCCAGCCCAGAAGCCCCCACACCAGCCCCCCTTCATCCCTCAGTTCCTGGAGGACCTGGTAGCTCCTAGACAAGCCAGTACCTGGCTTTCTCTCCCTTGCAGACCCCAACCCTCCAGATCGGCAGCCGAGGTGCCTCCCCAGCGCCCCTAGAACTGCACCCTCAGCATCATGTTGGAAGTTGCCTCTGACCCCCGGGTACCTGGGAGCACCCCCCATATCCTGCCCACTCTCATGTGTGGCTTCTCTGTGGCCCTTCATCCTGTCAGGGCCTCCTGCCTCCCAGGATGGCAGCTCAGACCCCACCAGCTCCTTGAGGGCCTCCTGTAGGCATCCTCCTGAGACCCCACCCCTGCCCTGCCTAGGCCTTCCAGACCCCCACCTGGGGCCAGGACCTCCTTCCTTCCATTCCTGTGCCCACAGCCTCCCAGGGCACCCAGGAGGTGCCAGTGAGTGAGGTTCTGCTCATGAGGCAAGGCGAGGGGAGCAGCTCTGCACCCCCCCAGCCCAGCACCCTAGCTCAGTCCCTGCACCCTACTCACCACTCCAGGTCGGTGCTGAGAAAGCTTCTGTCCCCCAGGCTGGGGAGACCAGCCCACCCCAGTTCTCCAGCTGCCAAGAGCCACCTCTAAAAGAGCAACCCCAGGCCCGTCCCCGTGCGCCAGGCAGCCCAGATGGGGCTAATGCCTCACACATGTCTTCGGGGCCCTGAGACGCTCACGCCCTCCCACACTGCGCCTCCAGCGCCAGAGCTGAGCTTCACAGACCGGGTGACCTGGGTCTGTCTCAGGCAGGCAGTGGCCTTGGTGTGGCGCAGAATTGGTGGTGGGGGTCTGGGAGCCGGGTAAGGATTCCAGCCTACCTGTCCCTCTCCTGCTGCCGACCCTGGGCAGCCTCCCACGTCCCCTGGTCCACCTGTGCTCCCGAGTCTGGACACGCTCT